ACAGCCGCTCACATGACTGCAGAGTGTCGTGTGGTTTGACAGTCCAGGGACACATCTGACAGGTACGTTCCAAAATGTGTGTTAAGTTGGTCCATGTCAACCCCTTGCGATGTCAAGGTGGGCCTTCGAGATGAAACCAAACTCTGAGACTTGATCTGCTCCCAAGGACTGTCAAGCAGAGGATTCCTGGCCTGGATTCAGAAGGTGCCACACAAGGCTCTGAAGAAATGCAAATCGAATGGGTTTTCTCTCTTCTTCCAGCCGTGCAGTCCCCCCGCGCATCCCTGTGTGGGCGCGGTTTCTTGCGTGGAGATAATCCCACTCCTTCCCCTGCAAGGCTGCACGATGCCTTTTTTTGTGGGGGAGGAATTCAGTGGGTAGACCAGATCAGTATTCTCTCCCCTCCTTGCCGTTCCGTCTGTCCCTCTCTAGTCTGCATGCATTTCGCGTAAGTTGACAGCCGTAGATATTGCTCTCCACGCTCTGACGTGTGATGAAGCTGTGAGGAAGGTGGAGGGAATCTCGCCGAGCCTCAGCATGGGGGCCGCCGGCTCCCGGAGCTGATTACCGCCGATGTGAAATTGATTATCTCACGTGGGGACCCAGGCTTCTCCAGCTATGACACAGAAAACCCATCCCACGAAGCCAGCTGAAAATATGGACTGTTCCCGGAGGACGGGAGGCAGGGGGAAAGGATCGTTTCGAATTGCAAGTGCAGCGAATCAGGATGCCGCAAAGGAGGAGGGAACAGTGTGGGGATAGATAGTTATATACACAAACATGAGGAGGTCTACGCCTGGTGCCTGAGATAGCTTGAAGTCCAGAATGCACCAGGCACAGACAAACGGTCAGTCTGCGATGACAAATACTATAACCAAAAGACAGAAATCTCCATACCTATACTTTCACAGCCTTACCTGGACTGTTAAGCAGAATAACCGTTGGAAATGTCTGCTCTAAACACCGTACAAAGGGGATACAGAGACCAGATTCCTCAAATGTCAATTTAATTGATAGCTTTAGATGAACAAAACATATAAGCTACATTAGTGAGACATCCTGAAAACAGAACAGAATAGAGATACTTTATTGACCTCTGTGCAGAGCTTGTCGTTTTGCCAAACCCCATCCTGCTTTCCATGAGACACACAGACACATACGGTATACAGGTCAGAGGTCAGAGCAAGCTTTGGGGTCACCGTGCACGGTCACCATCCGGCACTCCTGGGGCAATCGCTCAAGGGCCCAACAGCGGAATTATTAATGTAGGGATATAAAATTGTAGCAGTAAAACTGGTTGGATCCAGTGTTTTTTTCACGACTACTTTGGCAAAGTTTGGCAATGTTAGATGTTGAGAGCCACTCTCTGCAGCATTCTGCGCCCTTAATTTCAGTTTTGGTTGCCCTTTGGTTGAGATATGAAACATTTCTGGTGTACGGTTCTCACAGCCACACATTTCGCTTTCAGTGGTAAAATTTGCCAAGCCTTATGAGAGTCACATACTGAACTCACTGTAACTCATAGCCAAAAGCGTGATGCAATGTTTGTGTTTATGTATGTGTTTGTTCAGGTCTGAACTCAAGCTCATAGTAGAGGAGATTTTTGGGGGAGCTTATTGGAAAGTCAGCACTACTGTTCTGTAGCTTGTGCTGTGTACAGTAAGGGTTTTAATCTGCTGGTAACATAATCTGAAGGAACGTGGATTTGTCAGGTTCTGGGCCACAGGAGTGAGACCTTGAGAGTCAAGCGGGATGAAGACATCAGCTTCACCACGTGGTTCATGCAGGATATCGAAAGCTGTGTTTCGGTCACTAGGAGAGTGAGGCCACGGTGGGCAGGTGGTGAATCTCCGAGGAGTACCTCAGAATACGGCCACATGGATGTTTTGGTAACCACACCTGGGATCATGCATAAAAAATAGCCCACTGGGTATGTTTGTGCAGGTGGATGTCTGTGTGTCATGGACTCCGACGCTCATGGTGGCAATGACAGAGGGATGGGATGGATACCTCTGGAATTTCATTTGCAAGGCTAAGGAGTCTCCATCTCCGGTCACTGTAGCATCTGCTGATCCGTGGCTGGAAAACATCACTTGTTCCTGCAGAAAAGACCTCCCTGATTATGCCCCCCCCAGCTGCTAAATTTGGAGCGTATTGTAATTAAAAATGCATCAGTCCAGCAAACCCAGACTTCACATTGTCACACAACTGCTATATATGCAATATATAGCAGGGGGCATGTCGGGGGGGGGGGGGCGGTGGTTATTAATGTAAACATTCAACTTGGTTCCTTGAATGTCTGGAAACAATACTGGAAGCATGAGATAAAATCCCTTGTATCTTCAAATTAAAGGGAAACCTACAGCTCTCTGATGTTTCCATCTGCACTGTGATAATCCAATTCACCTCGAAATGGGCTACTTACAGACCAAGATTTAAGACAGGATGCTAATGTGCTAAAATGCCAGGCATTTAACACGAGAAAAATGTCTGTAAAACATCTCATAGAGGACAAACAGCAGGACTGAATACCATCTCTGTGTCCACCATGCTGTTTCATTGTCTGTTAAATTTTAGAAAAATTGGATTACCCATCATCCATCTGCTTATGCAGTACAGGCTTGCTGGGGGGGGGGGGGAGTATACCAGGCAACCTAAGGGACAAGGCATGGAGAACATTCTGCATGGGATGCCAGTCCGTCACAGGCACACAGATGCACAGACACACACAATGGGAATTTCAGAAAGACCAGTTCACCTTGCATGTCTTTGCTCACCCACACAGAACTGGGATTTAAACCCCCCACCACAGAGAGGCAGGGTAACAGTGCCCACATTGTCAGCAAGACACCCCAAATGCATCACTTCCAGTTACATCTTACTCTGAAGGGGGTACAAAATTGCACAGGGAAGTTTTAAATAAATACATTTATGGTCACAAACATATCAAGAATTTGTGTTTATTACCACCAAAAAGCCAGAAGGCAGAAGCTCAATGTGCTGTTTAGAGAGTTAATGAAGAGGCCTGGGATAATATCACTCCCAGATTCGAGTCCGAACTGCACCAGAGCTGCGTGAGACAAAGCAGCCAGTGTGTCTTCAGACGTAGAGCACTGTAAGAGCAATTCATCAGTAAGACGTAAAGCATCCAGGCTTCGCTGCCTTCTACCTTAGTAATCTGTCAAAGCAGAGTCACTGCATGCGCTCCTTGGCTGTAATTTTGATAGCAAAATGTTACCCGGGGCTCAGGGCTGTTATTCATTTGAAAAGGCAAAAAAAAAAAGCATTGCAGTGTATCCGCACTCGTACTCGTACAAATCGCAAATAAAGCGACTTTTCATTTCACTTAATTTCATTCCCACTAGCTGCATGAAGTTCACGCGAGTCAACTGATAATGCATTCAGGAAGCATTTTAAAAACATGCATTGACTACAAGACAAATTGTGAAACGTCGCATTCTATATACTTGCAGAATAAGCATGGGATGGAAATGGATGGACAGATGGATGGACGGACGGACGGATAGACAGACGGACGGACGCTTGGAGAATATCTTCTGATGCTGCATATGGCCTGCGGACCATAAGACATTTACAAATACACAGCTGGAGACTTGCTGGAGACAAAGCAGCAGCTCCAGTGGGGGCTGCCTTGTACGACTCTGACGCATAGTTGTGCTGTAAACCCCTCTGAGGATTAGCCGTCTTGTGGGAAAAATCTGGCCAGAGGAAACAGGGGGACACGCACAGGGTGCGTGACTCAGAATGAAACACAGTATGTAAGCCGGTTCAGGACATAAACCTTTATTAAGCTATTGAGCCTGAAGATTTCAAAGGAAAAGGAGTCAGAGGATATAACAAGGCTTATAAAACATAACCTGACCAGGCTTTGATAAGACACCAGGTGGAATAATTTCAGAGACCCTCACGCCTTACAGTAAACATCTGTTTAGGTATCTCAATAATAATAATACTAATAATAATATATGAAAACATAAAAGTAATGTGTTTTACAGAATAGGTGACCATCCTTTACTCTCTTTTTGCTGCAGTATTTGAAAACTGTATGTATTCTTAAAGCAAGAAGTGAGATTTGTTGAAGCTCAGAACCACTGCAAAACCTGCACTTCCCCCCCCCCCAAACAAATATTATACACTTTAAAACTAAAATAAGTATAACCAACTAGATTAATAATACTAGAAAGAATAAGTTTAGGTTTTTTCAAGCAAAAATTTCGCTCTGATTTTAAAACTTGAATAAATTTAGACTCAAGTGAATTTATTAAGGGTTGTACAATAAATAATAGTAATAATAATAATAATAATAATAATAATAACAAATATGGTGTAGATAATATTACATGTCGTTTTGCAGGTGTACTTAGAAACGTTTTCGGGGACCATAAGTATCATTAGAGTGAACTAATTGCATTTACAATCCAACAGGCAATGGATACAATCCCAGCTCGGTGTTTTTTTATTGCTTAAGCATACAATGCATAATCGTGACCACGGCGCAATCCGTTTTAGTACTCAAAGAAAGAGAATATGTAGAGCGTATGGAGAAGTCAGCTTTCTCGTTCTTGAATAGCATCCCAGCGAAAACATTCCAGACCTCAGCGTCAAAATCCCGATTAGCAAAAAAATAACATATATATACATTTATATATGTTGTGAATTTTGGCTGTAGTGTGAACTGGGAGCAGTATATATGGAATAGAGAAATTCCAACAGCGATATTACCATGCAAAGCACTAGAGATCGTTACAAGAAAATAACTGGCTTTCAAAGCAAGAATAGAAACAAACTTTTCTGATTCACATTTGGAGTTGTTCTCTTTGCTCATTTCAATACCATTTTTAGATTAAATTAAACTGTGCACCAATCAATGCTCTCCACCAACCATGTATTAAATTACTGTACACTACTGTAACGATTCCCACTAAACTACATGTTTATTTCCAATAGTTTTTTTCCATGTTCAGGTCAACAAACAACTGCTAAAATATGTTGAAATAAACAAAAACAAACAAACAAACAAACAAACAGACAAACAAATAAATAAATTATCATAATAAAATCAAATAATCAAAAAAAACTTTTGTGGTTTTGTGCCAGTCCTTAAAATGTAAAACATATCTAATATGTTCATTAGAGATGCACAGCATAGTGCATCAAAATACAACAGGGTTTTTCTCCTCTTAGATAGTTACAAGTACTGGCAAAATAGTCATCCGGTAAACAGAAAAGAAGCAGAAAACCCTTCCCTGCAGTGTTAGTTTGGCTATGTAAATGCGACACGTGTGTCATGTAAACATTGCACACATGTTAAGTGGGTAAACTGCGAAAGTGAAACCATTACCATTTATCCAAATACACATATCATTGCTAATTTTAGAAATCTTATGTAAAATGGCAAATGGAAAATAAATAACTTGTTGCATGCCTAATATATAACATAATCTTGGGGAAAAAAAAACGTTATATGGCTGAAATATAACAAATGCACAAAAATGTATAAATTCCAACAATCAATACCTTCAAACTGATTCTTACTGAGAAGTAAATAAGACTATAAATTAAATGCATTAGTCAAAATAGGTATTCTTGATAATACTATGAAACAGTTTAAATTGAAGCACTTGTAGGTGTTTGGTCCCTTCCGAGTTCCCTAGCATAACATAAAATTGTGTCCTGCAAAGGCTTTTGTTGAAAAACAATAAATAAATACATAAATAAGTAAACTGTTTACAGTACAGTGATCTTTTTTTTCCCAATACCTACTTAAAACTACAGTAATTTAAAAAGATTTAAACAACAGCTTGACATTTTTAAATAGCTTCTGATGCAGGGAATATTCACATGACAAAATTATAAACTGATATTTAAAATAAAAACAAAACCCACTCAAAAACAAAAATCACCCAAAATGATACATTACATGTGAAAATAAATAGATACATATTTACAGCCGTATATATATACTATGTCTTCTGAAAAGCACTGCTTCGGATAAAAGGTGTACAAAAACGAGAGAAATTATCCAACTCAATGGCTGTTTTACGCCAGCTTAACAAAGTACATAGTTTAGCAGTTACTGGTTGTATTTGGCTTGTCTTCAGTCCTATATTCAATGTATGTTAGACCACATTCCAGCCCCTTCTACTTCGAGGGGACCATATCTTTTATTACAGGTTCTCTGTTTAAGTAAGTGGCCCAGTAAACCAGGTTGAAGCTGCCAAAGAGGACTGGGAAGATTATTCTGGACATGCGGTCGATCTTGCTGACGCTGTTGAATGTCTTCTTGTTCTCTGCGGGCTTGGCGTCCGGCTTGGCCTTGTTAGGGTCGGCTGTAGCTCCTTTGGAGATGGTCGGAAGCACAGAGTCCTTGGTGATGTTGGGTGCGTAATTGGCCACGGCCACAGCATACGCATTGTTCTTCTTTATTATAGAAGCTTTCTCCTTTTTCTGCCGAGAAAACCAATCAGGGACTGTTTTTTATTTTTTTTCCCTCACAAGTGTCCTTCCCCCTCCAACTGACAAATATTCCCCAAGCTTTGTTTTAACAATCGGTAACAGGATTAGAGAAAGGGCAACAGATCGATTGGAATGTGCAACGACTGGCTCAAGACTAGGATTTCCACCGCCGCGTTAAGAGTGCCGGGACTACAAGAAGCCTTTGAACTTTTTAAGCTAACTCGCAAACTATGGGTTAAAACAAGTTCAATATGTATTGACAGGTGTGCTTAAGAGCATGGGATTTAAGTCCTCACATTTAGCATATGGCTAATTGGCCAAATGCAAATGAAACAAAAAGAAGATCAATTACAAGCAGTTACGGGTAAGGAGAGCACGGTGTTTTACGTAGCTAACATAATTCCTGGCTTTCCGCAAACATTGGACAAGGCACCCTTTTCTCACAGCCTGAATTGAGGTTTTCGACAAATGTTTTCACTTTGTTATTTATTTACTTAAAGCAAAATGTTAAGCAGGTTAAAGTCAAACATGTTGAACAGTAAACAACTAGCATGCAAGCCTTTTTTATACAATCTGTTCAGGTTTGTCAGCCCTCGCCAGATGCGGCATGGTGATTTCCTCTACCTTACTGTAAGTGCTTGGAATTTTCTGCCCAAAACTGCTGGATACGGTATCACTCAATATCACCAGAGGTGGATAGTTCAGGCCCAAAAAGTAAAAAAATCCAGACCAAGATTTTGTTTCAACCAACCGGTTGAGTATAAAGAGTCATAGTCACAGAGTACTCAACCGGTTGGTTGAAACAAAATCTTGGTCTGGACTTTTGCTTTCTGGACCTGAAGTATCCACTTCTGGGTATCACAATAGCACGCTACACTCATTGCTTACGCAAAACCTGGACCTAAGGTCCTACAGCTACTGAGCTCACAGGCCCAGTGTTGGCCAAACATACTTAAGGTTGGGGTATTTCTTGCTCATAAAATGAAATTATGACTTGAGCTCTATTGCACTTACTAAACAGATGTGAGTCATACCTTTAGTAATGCAGATTTATACATGGAAAAATCTGAATACTGCGGGTTCTGAAACTAAACAGCCAAAAACAAAACAACGACAAAAAAAAAAAACATCTGCACTGATGACTATGCAAAACTGTATATTCTACCAAAAGACCCATCTTAGGACTTATAAAGGATATATGAATGCAGATAGACTAACTTGAAAAGGAAGTCTAAATAGTCATTGAACATCCCTCCATCCATCCGTCTCCTGTAACCGCTCATCCTATTCAGGGTCGCAGAGGGTCTAGAACCTATCCTGGAGGCTATGGGCGCAAGGCAGGGAACAACCCAGAATGAGCATCAACCAATCACAGGGCGCAAGGCAGGGAACAACCCAGAATGAGCACCAACCAATCACAGGGCGCAAGGCAGGGAACAACCCAGAATGGGCATCAACCCATCACAGGGCACATTCACACACCATTCACTCACATTTGCACACCTATATTAATCAAACAATGGCTTTCAAATACATTATAGTAAACTATTAAGGGGTAGCTTTTGAAACCTCAGCTTGATGGACGTGTCACCGAGAAGGGAACTATACCAGAACAAACACTGGCAGGTTGAATGTGCCTTTAAACAGCCTCTGGATTAATAGCAAACACGAACAGCTGTTATTTCCATGACAACTCTCACTGGCACAACCTCACACAACACTTAACATTTAAAGCTGTCAGCTCTCATCTGAGTGGATGCTGAATACAGTGGCGTTTAGGGTGAAATGGCCACTCGACCAAGTTTCATACTGCATTGTCGTGCAGCAGACATCTGATAGTGTAGCATGCATGTGTTTGGCATGGACGTTTGACACATTTTTGATTGCCTTAAAACTGGTTTCAAGCTGTGACATTACTACTTATATTTGCGCTGACATTTTAAAGCTAATGGCTTTATTTAAAAATAAAGAAATAAAAAAGTCTACATCACTTCCAATACCTTCCTCAAGAGCTATACAGAAAGGCTCTTTGTGGGATATAAAGGCAAACTTCAAAGTTATTCACATTCTCCACCACTACTTATAGGTCCTTATTTATCCTGGTATGACTGGGAGGAAGCAAAAATGTGGACTGTGGCAGAGAGCTGGGAGGAAGCAAAAATGTGGACTGTCTGGCAGGGAGCTTGGAGGGATTCAAAACACAGACCGACTATGGCCCTCAAGGGCTGGACTGGGAAACAAGGCTATATACTATTAGAGTGCTATACTATACTCATAGTATATGAGTCCTTTGTTATTGCAGTATAATAAATCTGACTTAAGTACTAATCCTGAGTATCTCCGGAGGCACAGGCTCGAAGGAGAAAAAACGTATCTCAGGACAAACATCTACTGTTCTAATTCATGCATTTAACAATTCAGTTTAGATTATATTATGGTCAAAACCATCCATAAATCCGACGTAAACGTTTATTCCAGTTGATTGTCACAGAGTGTCTGGATCTATGTCAAGAAGCACAGCATGTGGGACACTGTGGATGGGATGCCAGTTAATCACTGGGCATACACTCACACCCCAATAACACGCTATAAGCAATTGAGGGATACTGGTTCATATAAGCCACTGGTGAGAGAGGGAGGAGACTCTTGGGAGCTCTGCATACACAGAGCCAGAAGCAGGGTTCAAACACCGCAGGAAGAGTGAGGCTAGAAGACCAAGTCATTGAACCACTCAAGGTACAATACATGAGCTCTATTATTGAAGCACGACAAGTCAAGACCCCCTGGTGTTGGAACGCTGGTATTACAAAAAAACATTTTGACTTTCATGAAGCGCCCTACCGTGGTAAGGGCTAAATAAACAGCTACAGAAAGCAGTCAGAGTCAAGAAGGTTTAATTATATACAGATGAAGTGGGAGTTGGATTAAAGCATAAATTATTAATCCTGCAAATATATTTTGTATCAATAATTTTGAGAGCTGATAAATATTTCATCCAGCTAAACCGAACCTGACAGCTATCGTTAATGCAGTGTGCAACATATATTGGTTTTGTTTTGATGCAAAGAAAATTACATACATTAAAAAAAATTATAATAAAATATCCCCATTCGCTGGCCATACACTAAGCACTACAATGGGCCTATTCTTTACACAAATTTAGCTGAAGCATAGTTAAATCACCCACAGTACATATTTCCTGTCCCACATTAATGACAAATGTCGGTAAATTGGTAAACTATCAATGTAGAAATTCCATTTAATCAGAAAACGTCACATAACTATTCTGTACCTCTTTCCTTGCAAAAGCAAGACGCGTTAGTTCCCTTCTAAATGTATGGTTTTGGCGACGATTCGATTAATTTCACGATTAGTCACAAATAAGGCACATCTGCTGCGCAAAGGGCATCTTGAGTTATGCTGTTTTAACTTTAAAGTCGCAACTTGCCGGTGAACTTTCATCTGCAGTTACTGCAGATGCTGCTGCGTTTCTCTCACATTCAGTCCCAGGATAAGCGAAAGAAAATAAGCTGCAATAAACAGAGATATGATGGAAGGCGATATGCGAGCAAGGAACTGCAAGAGGGAAATTGTGTGATTCACTCCCCCAGTGCAATGACTAATACACGTTAATTGCTTACTGCTACAAGGACAAACAACTAAATTGCCGTTTGAAGGGTATGTTATGGCTGCCGCTGTTTTAACTGAAGTCACTGATCGACCCTCCGGATGCAGTTTGTCGCTCTGTAAGTGCGACCGTGAACATAAAACCACCACGCAGTGCAACCATTAAGCCTGTGTGTGTGTGTGTGTATATAACACGATTATCAGTAATCTAATGATTTATACGTCAGTACCTCCGTAGTTGCTTCACTTGTATTCCAACATTATATTTAATTATATTCTACCTTAAAATCAAGCATCATATAGAAGACAAAACATGTATTAAATGAGAATGTCAATCGGCAAATGAAGAATTAACGAATTAATCCGACAATGAAATGTGAAAAAAATATAAACGCATGGCTAAGATATGTGCTGTAAAAAGTTTGGCGTGCGTCTTCTCAAACTAAGGAGATACGGGGAAGGGGGGGGGGGAATGTCAACACCGACCTCACAATTTTTTTTTTCCATTTTAAATTACCTGCCATTTAAAACAGTTAATGAGCAGTAAATAAAAATATAACGTAATATAAGAAACATAAAACAATGGAATCTTCTCAAACCATGGGAAAGATTACTGGATTAATGTTATATATTTAGCATTTAGGTTTATCGAACTGGGTGTTTGTGCTGTAGGAGCGCTATTCACATGCAGTGCCTATTTGTCAGCTCAGGGACCTTCTAGAGGGTTCTCAGCTGCCCAGGGACACAGGCTGTTAATTCCATATCTGTACATTGTGAACAGAAAGGGTGGAAAAGGTGCAGACAGAGTAGAGAAGGAAGGACATGAAGCACTTACAAGTGCCTGTGGAGGATTTTGGCCACGGTAAATGCGACAGAGATAAGGTTCTGCAAATTACTCATAATTGCTTAGGTCAGTGTTTCTCAAACCAGTCCTCAGGGACTCACAGTCTTTCCACGGTTTTTGCTCCACTGGGAGCTGAGAGGGAGAAAAAGGTGGAGACTCTGTGGGTCCCTGAGCACTGGATTGGGAAACACTGGAATTTGGTATATTCTGTATATCTCTCTTCCATTATTCACTTAAATAAATAAGGTATAGTAATAAAAGTTTGTAAATCAGGTGTGTTACTAGACCTTACATCACATGTTTACAATAAACAAGTGAAATACCACATGCAAGATTGCATAAAGGGGCTCCCTTTATTACATCTGTTAGGTAGTCTGTATACAGATATAAGGTAGTCTATACATCTGTTAGGTAGTCTACATACAGGTGTGATGTAGTTTATATACATCTGTTAGTCTATAGATGCAAAGTAGTCTATATACAGCTTTTAGATAATCTATATGTATATATATAGTCTATGCTCACTTTTCAAAAGATAACACAGAACATGACTTAATGGTGTTCTGGAGCTGGAGAAACTTTATGGAGCTGAAACGCTGAAAAATGAAACTGTCATGTAATACCGCATTTTTTCTTTGTCTGTTTTTGAATGACTTTGAACTTATCTCTCCCCGGAGACGACGGCACCTCTGCCGTACAGCTTCCGTTGATTTATTCCCAAGCCATGTTTCTTCTCTCATCCTGTCATCTTCTTTTATCTGTCCCCTTTCATCCCTCCCCGTAGCGCCGCGTGACGGCAGTTAAGCCACGGCTCTGCCGGATGAGGTCAATGTACTGAGTGGCATGAGGGAGCCACAGGATATATCAGTTCTGGTGAAAAAGTTGGACCGTATATAGAAGGTTTGTGTACAGCTTTGTGCAACCAGCTTATCAATCTCCGCATGATGCACAAGATGGAAAAAGCTTTACTGAAATGGAATTACTACAGATTGGTTCAAACAGTACAACAACCCTGGGTTTGTATGCATAGAACGGTACATTTCGTTTTCTAGTGACATTATCAGGGAATGAACCCATCTTACTTTCTTTACTCTGTAGGTCTGTTTTACCAAGAGGGATCACTATAAGATTTCCATTCAAAGGGGCCAGCATGGCGTCTGTGTGGTTAGTACTGTTACAGTATCTCACATCTCTAGGGCTGTGGTTGAATCCTGCCTTCAGCTCGGAGTGTTTGGAATAAGCTGGTTCTCTCCTTATTTGTGCATGAATCCTCCAGGTACCTCTGCTTTCCTCCCACCGTCCAAAAAGTACAGATCGGCAAACTCTGACTCCAAAACGCCCACGGTGAGTGTATGCCCAGCTATGGACCAGCATCCCGTCCAGGGTGCCCCCTGCCTCCTGCCCTTGCATTCTGGGATAGACTACAGACTCACCAAAACTCTTTAAAATACAAAATTAGAATTTTACGGAGGTGGATAGTTCAGATACAGAAAGGAAAAACTCCAGACCAAGATATTGATTCAACCAACCAGTTGAGTACTCTGTGACTGTGACTCTTTATACTCAACTGGTAGGTTAAAACAAAATCTGTATTTTTACTTTCTTTGTCTGAACTACTGTATCCACCTCTGTAATTTAATTATACTGACTGTTTTTTGCAACACAGTATGTCAGACTCAAAGACCAGGGATCCTACAAATCATGCTAATGAACCATATGAACAAAAATATCACGAAGGGAGTAGATCTCTCAGGATCTAGATGACAAAAATACCTGGGGAAAGTTGACTTACACACAACGTGCAAACACGACGCCCCACAGAGGTCATAGGGTGAATTGCAGGGGACTTCCAGCCATGGCAGGCATGCAAGGCAAACCTCACCTTGTCATTGACGACACTCTTCCCGTCCCAGGCCCAACCACGCTTGGTGAAGTAATTGACAGTGGCGAACTCGATGAGGGCGGAGAAGACGAAGGCGTAGCAGACGGCGATGAACCAGTCCATGGCTGTGGCGTAGGCCACTTTGGGCAGGGAGTTGCGGGCACTGATGCTGAGCGTGGTCATGGTCAGCACAGTGGTCACGCCTACAAGTACGGACAGACACATGAGCAGGGAATGCTACCTTACCCCAAACACAAATACCAAGATGAAGCTATCAGCTATACAGACACGTCACGGCACTCATTTTCCAGTCAGAGGTGGAGCACTTTTTTCCCTCGAAATTACTCGCAGTGCTTGTCTCAGGACAAATTTTGGCGAATTTCATAGAAAGCTAAGATTAGAATCTTTATTGTCACTGCAAATAAAGCAACAAAATCTCATTTAGCAACAATCCAGCCATATTTAGCTAGAGCTAATATTTAATAACACTGAAGCGAACAAAGTGAGAAGTCTATTTAATGGTGAACAAAATGAAAATATTTGTATTTAAGCATCAGAAACTCATCTTCATGCTGACACATTTCACCATGGAGTGAGAGCAGAGCGTGTTGTTTCTCCAGGCGACACACTGACTTTGACCAGCATGTCTCTTATTGCAGAACCAGAGGAGCTATGAGGTCCTCCACTATGACATTTTTGGGAATCCTGCCCCTCCCCCCCCAAGTTCTAGAACCATCGTTTCAGGGTTACGCAGCCTGGTTTGGGACACTGTAAGCTGATGGTCTTGACACCTGAATCCACCGCTGGCACTGTTGGATGGTAGAACCTCATCTCCTTCACGGTTCAGTGCACCAACCCTCCTGCGCCAGTTATTGCACATTCGGCAGTCTCCCCATTGAGGACGGAGTATTCCATACACAAAGGATGCGGTGGAATTTCTGGTCCCGCTATTTTAGATATTATAGTTCTCTATCCACATTTTCCACCAACAGCACTAAGATGGTTACATGCTAAAACACTCCAGTACAAATGGCCGATACCAAAATAAGATTGTCATGACAAAAATGTGAAAAATACAAATCAATAAAACATTCTGGTAAAGAATGTCAGCTTGTCCCAAAAAACAAAACATTGTGGAAGATCAGCCTGATTTTCTGATTGATGTAGTACATACCTTAACATCACGAGTGAGCTTCAACAACAATCATTCTCTGCCTCTAAAGCGAACATGCAATCTCCTACTGGTAAATGTATTTTCATTAACCAGTCAGCCCAATTAACTCACCTTACACATTAACTAAAGCGCATACCTAAATTTTCCCAGTTCCGAATTTTTACACTGACAATCATCCCTTCTCTGACTGCTTATGCTGGTTGAGTTCATGGGGACAAATAAAACAATCAAATAAAAATAGTGAGGTGGCAGATGTCTCTGCCTCTGTATCTTTTTGAGGAATAGCAGCTTGTGTTGTCAGCTGACCTCAAGGGCTGAGATCCTGTGGCGTTTCTGCTACAAGAAAGCCCCTTTCAGTGTGATCCTATGGAGGAGCTGACACGTAGACCACGGCTGTAAAGTCACACAAAGGGAAGTGTGGACACGGAGGCAGCAGAAATAGATTTGTAAGCACCTTCAAAAATAATCATTCTCAGCTTTCATTCACGGCACATGTCAAAATCGGAAAGCCAGTTACAAAAGAGCTCATTGAACCTTGTAGCGAATGCTTAGGGCTCGTAGTGAGTATGCTTAAGGACATATTCAGAGTATTTTTTAGGCCACAATCATACTATGCTTAGGGCACATTCAGAGAATGTTTAGGGTACATGCAGAGTATACTTAGGGCGCATTCAGAGTATACTTAGGGTACATGCAGAGTATGCCTAGGGCACATGCAGTGTATGCTTAGGGCACAGTCAGAATATGCTTGGGGCATATTCAATATATGCATAGGGCACACTCAGAGTATCCATATGTGCACTGAAGTCCTATCCCAGCACTGTGATGGCCACAGCCTGTACATACTTTCCTGCATTTATATCTGTCTCTATAGATTTGAAGATGCAAAGGTTTTATTGGTTATTGTCATTGTGACCTTCAGAGCCAATGCCATCACAAACATGAAGCAAATAATATATACAAGAGGATCTCTGATTCTCTTAGTTTTTTTACATATTCATAAATAAATATATACATACACACACACACACACACATATATATATATAAATATATAAAAACAGCTAAACTTAAACTTTATTGTACTTTGTTGTACGGTTATTACATTTGGAAAAAATATATATATATGACTAATTTGTGACAGGCAATTAAGCATGCCCTAAATTATGAGAGTAATTATAATGATCATGACTGTGTATCAAAATGAAAAACAAGGGAAAAAATGGACTGATTATATTTAATAAATTGACCAGCCACAATGTAATTTACGCTCTGCTTAAAACTAACCCAAAAATGAATGAAAGGTTGAAAAGTCCTGATGTAAATGATTAACATTCATGACGTGCTATTTGGAATCTATATAATAATCTCAGTCATGTTTATGTTATTAAACACTGCCATATTCTCTTCCTGTTTAATATTTGTTTATTTCCAAATACGATTACATTTAACATGAATGTACATTAAACCCAATAATTTAAAACAGTACATAATGACAGAAATCTGTCTATCTACCTATCTATTGTTATTGTTTCATAGCAGCAAACAGCTCTAGAAATAGCAAAAGTGTCCACAATCAGTGCGTATGAAATCCTACACACAATGTGCTGCATTCTGGCCGTTAAAATGTTTGGCGCTCTCAATGAGGATGGAGAGGGGGCCAGCAGGCGCGAATCGATTGCCCATTGTGGATGTGATTCGTTTGCCAGACGAAATGCAACCCAAATGATTCCATTCATTCCGAAGCAGCGGTCTATTAACGGTAAGTATAGGGGAAACTTCAGACAAAAATAAATAACATGGGTAATACGGTAAAACACAACCTCGGCTTCCAGGACTCATCGACGGGATCTCGTTTTGTAAACGCAGACTACATTTAAGCGTTCTGGCTTTCACCTATGGTTCACCCGACCCCCTCGCTCTGACTCCTCCTTGGGGAGCATACGTGTCTTTCTGGAGAGTGGCTGGCACGTTCTCCACTTGAGGAAAGAGTGACCCCGGTGGAAAGGGTCAGTGCCGGGTTCTTCTAACGATTCAGCGAGACAGACCATAGTCTCCTCCCGTGGGCCATCTCACAACTGAACTCTGTGACCCAAGAAGGACACATCTCAATTAAACAGTACAATAATGCACCATGTGCAGTCTCACTATTCATTGCACAATATGCAACCATGTGCAATAAGTCACAATAATGGTCGCTTGACACTCCTGTACTTTATGTTTCTGTTACATAATCTGTCTTTTTGATTTATCTCTTTCATAGTTTGTCTACCTGAATATATATATATATTCTTTTGTACATCTTGCACATATTTGCCTCATATTTTCTATTGCATTGGCATTGAAGGTCACCAGCATAATTCTGTTGTGCATAACACAATGACAATAACACCTTTGATTCTTGACAACTGTCACCTTATGGGCTGATCATCGTTTATAAAAGCGGGATGGAAAGCACTGGAAGATAACAGTAAGATGGCACCAGACACACAAACTGCAGCTGTCATGTCCACGAATTCCTCGCCGAAAACATTTCTGTGTGTCTCTCAGCTTCAACTGAAGGGCCTCGTCTGTAATTTGTACTTAATGGACGGACTTCGATTCAATTTAGACCTTTGACGAGATTTTTCTCTGCCACGGAAATGATATGAGGTGGATCAATTTGCACTGTTCATTATGAACTACATTATTATGGATTTTTAATACAAATACCAGCATTGTCTGGGACCACATGAATCAGGTGTAACCTCCGTTAGTCCTTCTGAGATGAAGACGGGTGAGAAGAAACATTTATTGACATCCTGTATAATGTAAGTGTATCTAATTGCTTATGCAAGGACAAGGAGGATGTTTGGAGTGGATCCATTGATCCATATGGGAAGCAATTCGGCTAAGACATTAACTGTTGCTGACATACAGATTGATTTTGCTCGGACAGTGACCTCAATATACTGCTCTCCATAATGGCATCAGTCCAAAGTATTATTATGGTAATCATCATCATCATTATTATTGATATGGCAGTAAAAAGCTGGTAATATCAGATGGGATTATTACTAAATACTGCAACCCTGACCAGGCCAGAGGATGGATGGACGGATTATTACAAAAAATGTAACAATATTGCATTCGAAAAACATATGATACACCTATAACATAAAAGCTTTATTCCATCCATCCATCCATCCATCTATCCATCCATCATCTAATTATTTATTCCAATCAGGAAAATGGGGGGTAATGGTGGGGGTGGGGGGGCACCCCACCCTGTCTCAAGCAGCATTGGGCATGAGGCTGGGGTACATACTGGACAGGATGGTGTCTAAATAAATGTTTCATTATTTCATATATATGTGTGTGTGTCTGAGGGTGGGGGCTGGGGAGAATCTAATTGTAATTAAGGTATGTCCAACTTTATAAAAATATACCAACCTTAACTGCATTGAATTGCCTTGACTATACCTGCAGCAGTATTCCTGCCGTGAGCACACACTGACGAGGGTACAAATGCTCTAATGGATGAGCACACACTGACGAGGGTACAAATGCTCCAATGGATGAGCACACAATGATGAGGGTACAAATGCTCTAATGGACGAGCACACACTGACGAGGGTACAAATGCTCTAATGGATGAGCACACACTGACGAGGGTACAAATGTTCCAATGGATGAGCACACACTGACGAGGGTACAAATGCTGTAATGGAAGAGCACACATTGACGAGGGTACAAATGCTCTAATGGACGAGCACACACTGATGAGGGAACAAATGCTCTAATGGATGAGCACACACTGACGAGGGTAAAAATGCTGTAATGGAAGAGCACACACTGATGAGGGTACAAATGCTCTAATGGACGAGCACACACTGACGAGGGTACAAATGCTCCAATGGATGAGCACACACTGACGAGGGTACAAATGCTCTAATGGACGAGCACACACTGACGAGGGAACAAATGCTCTAATGGATGAGCACACACTGACGAGGGTACAAATGCTCTAATGGATGAGTGTGCAGTGAAAAGCAAATCAACTTCCTGACGTGACTTTTGAGCACATGATGTTAGAGGCGTCCGTGTCAGTGCCTGCACTGAGTCTGTGGTAAATATAGCCATTCTGACAGCTGGAGCAGCTGGGAGACACTCAAAAGTAAAAAATAGTCGCAAAATGATATACATCTGTAACGTCAACAAGATTAAAGTGGGACAAATCACCTATTTTTCCTTTGAACTACTTAGAATAGAATGGTCTTAATCAAATCTTTGGTTTATCAACATGTACATATACCAAGAAACAGCTTTTAATTAAAGTCTTGTTTTCAAAGGCCTGGGAATCTGTTCCATTGTGGCTCTATTTCATCTGGCAGGACTCCTAAAATAGCATTTTTGAAGTTGTGGTAATCTTAATTATAAGTAAATAGAACAGCATTACTTGTCTCATTTTAAATCAAACCCTTTAATTCCTGCAGAGGATCCCTCTTTAGTACAATTTCAGTAAACAGAATGGGAAGGAGATAACATCAGTCTGAATGCCACCCAGATTATACAGTATGTGTAAAACGGTATGGATAGCTTCTGTTTTTGAAGGCTAAAATGCTTCAAATCTGTTTCCTTATTTCTCATATATTTATTTTATTCAAATAATCTACCTTAACTGTCTATGTCAAATGTGAGAAGCATTCTGAGGTACCTGTACTTGTATTTTTTAAATGAAAAATATGCATTTCATTTTTGTTTCATGAGTAGTCCTGAGAGTAAGACATACACAATAGATTCTTTGGCCTTTAAAAAGTAGAGTTTATTTCCAACTGTCCAAGGAGAAGTATTGTGAAGCAGCATAAAGATAGAAATTTCAGTTCAAATAGACTGGCTGAAATTCCTTAAACGAGAGCTGTGTACCTTCGGCAAGGTGAGCGCAAGTAAACAGAACTAGTTTGATAAATAAGTATTTAGGCCAACAGACATTCTCCATTCAATCAGGTGCTCGAAACTTTCCCAGTGTTACTGAACACTGTCACAAAGCTTCTAACTACTGAAACAAGTGTATTATTAACCATTTGTTTTTTTAATCCCTCCAGCAAACATATCAGATTTGCAAGGTTTTAAACTTGTGCGAAGGTGGTAACTTCTGCTGAAGACAATATCGACGACGGTGAGACGGCAGGTTCGAGGTCAGGCTCGGAGGGCATGCAGCCTCATAAACACCGCCTCGCCCGCTCCGTTGGAGAGATCCGCACGTCGGTGGAGTACGCATGCCGCGTCCCAACTTTTAATAAAGTCCTGAGCATCAGGTGGAATCTGCTGACCGCGAGCAGATGCGGGGGCACAGCAAAGCACCCAGCTGAGGCCAGCGAGATACTGCTAGCCGAGTCGCGGCTCGGACATCTTCCTTAACCGGTCCTACTGAAGGAAATCGAGAAAACAAGACACCGTGTGCTACTGGAGTTTTGAGTTTTGCGATCATTTAGAGTGAGATGGTACAAATCGGATGGAGATTGTCCCAGTGACAGAGTGTCTGCTTGAAGCAGTAGTGGGATGGGCTTGGACCTCTGGAGGCCTGCCAAGAAGGTTCAGCTCCTGGTTAGGACATACTTCACCTGTCTCCCCATGAGGTCTCTGGGGCCAAGAGCTAATAATTGATCGCTGAGTCCCTCCTTAAAGATCCCCTTCTACACTTTCCATTACTCTCCCATCTGCCTTTCCTTCTCTCTCTCTCTCCATCTTTGAGCCATCCTTATGTGAACTCCTCCACTTGATTTCTCACACGTTTTCTTTTGAACAATGCATCTATCAGCAACACTCCACACATACGCCATTTTAATTTCATAGCCCAGGCCTCATTTGGTAAAGAGCAGAAGCTTTTAAAGGTACATTCAGACTATTTTAATAACAAAATATGGCCCATAAAAATGTACATTATTGAAATTACGATTGGGAGGGCAGCTCACTGATTGCATGTGCGACACACACACACACACACACACATATTTATATTTCACACAGACAAACAGTTAATCTGGAGGTTGCAGCTGGCTCAGTGTGGAATAAACCTATCCTGTGTGTTTCTCAGAAAGCCCCCCACCACTGGGCCCCTGAGCAAGGCCCTCAACCCCCTATAATTGGGCCCCTGAACAAGGCCCTCAAGCCCCAACTGCTCCAGGAACTGGCTGACTGGCTTCCTCAAAACATGTTTGTCGCTTTGAACAAAAACAACACAAAAGGTCAACTGTAATGCATGAGAAACACCGCTGTTTATCTCCGCAAACACATGTCCATTTACGTGTACTTGCTATGCTAATTGCTTTCACCTGAATCAATTACCTATCCATCCTCCATCTCCATGAGCATCATGGGGGAGGGGCAGCACAGGGCAACAGGCTGGGATACACCCTGGATGGGATGCCAGTCCATCATTGGGAACAAAACATGTACTATGGTGAATTTCAGGACATGGACTGACGGAGGAAACAGGAGTAACTGGGGACAACGCGGGGAGAACATGCAGTGCCAGAGAGCAGCGGCAGGATTCAAACCCCCAACCCTGGAGGAAGTAAGCAACCTATTTACCCATTTATCTACCTCTGTCATCTAATTCACCCAAAACCATTTACACAGTGGAGTAATTTGCTGAAACAAATTACATTAAATGCCCTACTCAAGTACACTACAGCACTTGAACCCTGAAACTTGAACCCTGAACCTTTGTGTGTCTATCTGCTTAAACGCTGTATTGCTGCTAGTCTGGGTACGATTGCAACAAAAAAAAGCTCATCGACTGAGGTTTCCAACACATTGTACCAGCCCATCTGCAAACAACACAGGGTGCAGTCTTTTTGCCCTAAGCTCCACCTAGAACACACAGGTAATGCTTCTATTTGCTGTTAATGATAAACCTTAATAAGGGACAGCAAGTGACCTGCTCCAAAACCTTCATAACACATGGACGAGTGAACAGTAATGGACGGCAGGGATCATTAATGGTTTGGAGGCCACTGTATTCTGCAGGGGTCCTATCAGGACAGTGAGCTCTGCAAGATCTGCTGCCGTTCTGCTCTGGCTGCTTTGCCCTGGACGCTGTGCACCACTTACCGAAAACGGTCCGGGCTGGCACAGACTCCCTGTTCAGCCAGAAGGAGACCTGGGACAGGATGACGGTCATGATGCAGGGCAGGTAGGTCTGTATCACGAAGTAGCCGATCTTACGCTTCAGGTGGAACTGAGCCGTCATGACAGTGTACTCGCCTGCGGAGAGGGCAGAAGCCAAGGTGAGAAGACGCTTCTAGTAAGTCTGAGGAGTGGCTGTAGGATTAAGGTGGGAAGACGCATTTAGTGAGTCAGGAAAGGTTAGAGGTCAAAGGTGAGGAGAAGAATTTAGCAAGTCTGAGGAGAGGTTAGAGGTCAAAGGTGAGGAGAAGTTTTTAGTGAGTCTGAGGAGAGGTTAGAGGTCAAAGGTGAGAAGCATTTAGCGAGTCTGAGGAGAGGTTAGAGGTCAAAGGTGAGGAGAAGTATTTAGTGGGTGAATCTCAATACCAGGCTCACAAAGACTGTCTTGCCTTCCAAGAACGATCTTGCAAGATCACGAGCACAGAGAGCGTACCAATTGTAGATTTAGATAGATGTGTACTTGTGCACTTGCTGTTCCACTATGCTGTACACCCAGCTGATTACCCCGACCATAATTTGTATCGTAGCATTTAATGAATGATACATAATCGAAATGTCCAGTCTAAATTACTATTTATTCCTGGTATGATTATTTATGCTTTTTTCACAAAGATAGTTTACACTTAATATTTATTTCACCTCTGTATAAACGCTATACGTGGGTGTTAACCATTCCAGTTCAGCAGTCTCATCGGCCCAAAAAAGCGAAAAACAGCAGGAAAATACTATCTGAGAGGAACGACAGAAACATTACTCCAAATAAGGCAACTCCAATTAAGGTATTACGGCTATGGTTCATGCCTTCTACCTCCGCCATCGCAACAGCAGGCAATGAATCATGGGATTATTCTCATTTGGTAAGGCTGCACCCGATGCATCCTTGATATTTGGGGAGGAGCAAGACCAACATCAAGGGATTTTTACCATCGTCTAATCTAGTTTTCTTAGTATTGGAACTGGTCTTCGGCAATGGAAGAAAACGGAAAACAGGTACACGAGAACACAAGTACGGTCAAGTATGCATATTGGGATTCAGCCAGTGAATCTGAGGTTATAGGTCAAAGGTGAGGAGAAGGATTTAGTGAGTCTGAGGAGGGGTTAGAGGTCAAAGGTGAGGAGAGGCATTTAGTGAGCAGAGAGCTATGAAAAACAGGGTGGAGAGTGTGGAAACAGCACTGAATAAAAAAACAACTGTCTTTTGAGATTTGACTTAAAAGCTAAAATGACTTCCAGATATATTACAGCACGGGACTTGTCTGGACCTTGTAGTGAGATCAGAATATCGATAGTCACCACACTTTAGAGAAACCTGAAAAACATTGGGCGAAAATAAAAATAAATAAAACTAAACAAACACAGTATATTATGGCTCTTCTTTTACCACGTGGTTCTCAAAAACCACCAGCACCAAACAGCTGTAAATGATTGCTTTGCTATGCTGCCTTTTCAATACCTCTGCAGAATAAGTAAATCACACAGCTACTGTACAGAGGACTGGCATTGTCAGCAGTGTTTCCTCAGACGAATGCATGGCTTATCCACGGAGTGTAAGTGCTTTTGTCGTAACAAAAGCACTATTTATAAATGCACACGGCGGCCATTCTTGATGTCGTGCAGGTATTCATGAGCAGTAACAGCTCACTGATCATCAGATGGTGGTGAGGTGCTTCACAGTTCTCGTCTCTAACAGTTCTATCAGTTCTTTAAGGTCGATGCACTCTTTGTGGAGCTGTAAACATTTGGAAATATATTTTAAGGAGCCATACTGATTCACTTAGATTATGATGAAATGTGATTTCAGTATAGATTCTTACACCACTGTCTGGGGGAAGGAAAAAAGAAGGGAATACAAAATTGTGTGTGTGTGTGTGTGTGTGTGTGTGTGTGAGTCTGTGTTTGACCAGAGAGTGAAGGAAAAGCGGCCAATGAGTGCTCAGCATATATGTGGGACCTCCTTCAGGACAGCTGGAAAAGCATCTCAGGAGGCCACCTCATGGAACTGGTGTGGAGGAGACAGTAGGGTCAGTCAGGACCTGGAGCGATTAGGGTTATGGGCCTTGGTCAGGGGTCCAATGGTGGGATCACTCTCCCGACCCAGGGATTTGAATCAACGACCTTCTGAGTCCCAACCGTCAGAGCTGCCCCCCAAAAATTTTTTTATTTGATACTTTTTTGGTCAATGCAAAATTCCACATATGTCATTTCATAGGTTTTATGTCTTTATAATCATTCTAAAACGTGGAATAATACAAATAAACCTTTCTTTGGGTAGGTGCGTCCAAACTTCTGACTGGCACTGTACATATTCACACACACACACACACACACACGGGGAACCAACCCATCACAGCGCACACTAACACACTATTCACTCACAAATGCACACCTACAGACAATCTGGTAACTCCAATTAGCCTCAGCACGTTTATGGACTGTGGGGGGGGGGAAGAAACGGGGAGAACATGCAAACTCCACACACATGGAGCCATAGCGGAGACTCGAACCCGGGTCCCAGAGGAGTGAGCTAATATATATGAGCCCAAAAATATAACAGTAAGAAAATATTGATGATTCCTGTGACAGGCTGTACTGGGCAGAAGATGGATGGATGGATGGATGGACTATAACACTGACATGACATGGTTGTTAAAATTGGCAGAGCTGAGGAGGAATTGCAGGGTCCTCAGTTTCCCTCCTGCAGTTCTGTTTAATTCTTCTGCCCTGCTAATTGGCAGATGAAGCTTCTATTTTATGTAGCGACCTTTATCCCTGAAGATTTGCCAGCTCATCCTAAAAAGGCGTGCAATTTCCTGTCCCGCAGGGGGCGTGTCCTCTCCTCGCATTTCCCTTTCAGGGGTAACCTATATACACGCCGTCACGAGAACCCTATCTAGGAGGGACAGGATCGGCTTTTATCTCCATGTAATGGAATTTCCATGCCTGTCCCAGCTGGGGGAGGAGAGACAAAACCTACAGGGCTGCAATTCTCCACCCGATGAGGCTGCGGCCATTTCTCAGCAGGGGGTGAGGACACCAGTCACACTGACAAGGGAAAAAAAAAACAGCTAATCGGAAAAAAATTACATATAATTATGAATTAAAATTTATAAGCAAGAAACAGTACTTGACCTCATCTATTAGGAACAAACTTCCTAATGGTGCCATTTGTTTTCAAAAATTCTTGCCTGCTAAACCCGGCCAGTAAGCTTTCTGGCCTGAATTCTGTCGCTATGAAGTGGTTCGCCTTCCAGGTTGCAGGACAGTTTGGCTTCTAGGCTGTACTTTAGTGACCCTGTAACCTAGAACCACACTCACTTGGTTAGTAGGAGCCACATAAGTGATATAACTGTGGTGCTTCTGGGCGGAGGCAAGCCAAAGGAAGTGGATTATGGTTTATATTCTGTAGGAATGAGTCATGAACGTTAAGGACTGCCTTTTTTCATAGAATAATTGGCTTTGCTATGTCACCTTCGCCGTAATTACAGGTTTTATTACCTTCCTCAAAGGTCCCTGCATTCACAATTTTACCTCAGGGATATTGCTGCCGTCATGCCTAGCCGACGCGGAGAATCACGCATCTCGCATCGGAGATCACGAGAGAGACGCACGCGGCCGGTGCTCGGACGATAATGGGTGCTTCGGTGAAAAGGACACATTAGATGCTCGGAACCAAGGATCTCCGATCGGGGAAGGGAAGCTCAGAGGGGTACAGGCCACTGGCGGCCCGTCACTGGCACCAGCCGTACGCAAGCAGTGATTCCAGTGAGAGAAAGCTGCCAGGCTTCCAGTGTAGAAGTATGGGAAGGTTCATGCTCGTGTGTAAACTTTATGCGTCACCTGTATACTCAATGATGCAACATGGTATTTTTACAATGACAAATATAAAACACCCTGAAATGACTCAATAGCAACCAACCACTCTTCAAATGACACTGAAAAACACGCATTGTTAAAGCACTACCACAGTCCCTCGTGTGTGACAGATATGTATTTACGTAAATATACTGTATATCTAGCACCAGCCATATTTAGACAAAAATATTGTTAAGAGATGATAAGTTAATGCTGGGATATTCATATGACATTTGCAATGTTAGAATAACTTATTGTAGTAATTTGTGAGATATACAGGACAAACTGAGTCTGCCTGTATTTTTGATGCCATTTTGGCTCGTGGTGTATCATTGGGGATCCCTGTCGCCCCACAGGGCTGAGATTTTGGACTAAGTCCCTGCTCTTCATGTGTGGGGTTTGCATATTCCCTCTGGTTTCCTTCGGAGGCCCAAAGACCCGTGCTTGGATGAACCCGTCTCTATAGAGAGTCCATCTGGTGCCAGTATGTACCCTGTGATAGACTGGCACCTCGTCCTGGGTCTCTCCCTTCCTTGTGCCCCATGCTGTCTGGGATAAACTCCAGGCCTCTGTCTGGGCATATACTGAGTAAATGACTTGAAGATGGATGGATGGATGGATGGATGGATGGATGCCTTTCTGTGCTGCCTAAATCAGCGCCACGGTAAAATTCATGCCCACTCCTTGCCTAAAACAGTTTTCTCCAAACATTATTTTTTATGCCTCTTTATAACAGTTGTGTAACGATATCTATGCAAAAATATGTGTCTGTAAAAAGAAGCCCGATTCCGAATTTAGTGACTGAGCACAGTGGCACTGCTTATGTAATGAGTGGCATTTATTTTGTCACGAATGTATCCACTTCCTGCCCTTGCAGTTCCACGCTCCTCCGCTGCTCCACATTCATAATTGCCTGGAGGTCTCTGAACTTGGAAGTTTGCAACAATCCCCCCCCTCTGGCCTTGGTGGCCTCGTGTCCCATATTCTTCCTCTCAATCAAGAGTAAAGGAGTAGGGGGCCAGTCTGACAAATTTCACATGATAACTAATGAAGACGAGGCAAGATGCCCTCATTACTGACTGCACGTGCCCCCCCCCCCATTTGCACTGGCCCACGCAGTAGCCCAATAATATCATGTGACCCCCACGGCCCAACTGCCTGAAGTGCAAATTGGACAAATTACACGACATGCTGCATTTCATGTTGTCTTTGGCTCAAATGTCTCATTTTTGGATACGGTACGAGGCAGACAGTATCCAATTAAAGTGGACAAGAAGCAACTCAGGGACAGTGACAGCTGGGAAAGGAAACACTGACAATAGGGAATACTGGGTTGTTCTAATTGGAATTTATATTAAATTCAGAAGAAGACGCGGGAATCTTCTGAAAAAGCAATGTGATTCAACAGTGCTTAATGAAAATGGTATGAGTCGCACAGCTAACTTCAGCTATGATGGTTTTAAATGCAGTTTACACAGGGAAAAATGCATCTTTCAAATGCACCATCCATCCATCCATCCATCCATCCATTTCCTATACTTGTCCTTTTTACCCTGGAAGCTAGGTACTTTGTGGTTCTTTTAGCTTTGACATTGCTGCTGCTGGATACACTCTGAAAATGAAATGAAACATTATTTACCAGGAAGGACCTGAAGTTCAGTCCCACCTTTTGCAAATATGCTGCCATTTTTACAGTTAGTGTTACAGCGATACTGACCCAAGTAAGAGGCTGAGAATATGGCTACAGCATGGGTGAAGCACCAGGCCTTTGCTGAAACACACACACACACACACACACACACACACACACACACACATACACACACACACACATACACGCACACGTCGGGTATACCTATCATTATGGGGCCCACTCATTCACTTCTATGGGAAAATGCTAATGCTAACTATGACAACCTTAACCCCCAACCCGCCCCAACCATAACCATAAGTAACCAAGCAAAACACACAGTTTTTGCATTTTTAGTTTTTTCATAGCAGTCATAGTAAAATAGAGTTTTATAAACTAGGAAAGAAACTTTATAGACCAGGAAACCGGTCCCCATAAGCGAAAAAAAAAACGGACATTTATCACGTTATGGGGTCATTGCGTCCCCATAAGGATAGGTATACCCCCTTGCACACACACACACACACACACACACACACATTTGTATTCATATCTTTTTTGGGACCATCCTTTCATTTCTATGGGAAAAACTCTAATCTCAACAATGACAACATTAACCTTAACCTTAACCCGGCCCTAACATAAATAACCAAGACTTTTGTTTTACAAGACAAACACAAGACATTTTTAGTTTTTTGATCGCAGTCACAGATTTTTTAAAAATTGTGGGGACCAAAAAAAAATCCCTACAACATCAAAATAACAAATGAACACACATGGCACTGTGTTGTATATACATAACCCACACACACGCACACACACATACTGTATATTCAGGACTTCCTCCAGTATGATGGCATGAATTAAGCCTCCCGCCCCACATTCCACACTGCAGTAATGTCACTGTGTAGCACAGCAGTTTTAATTACACTCCAGGTGTAGTGCACACTAACGTGGCCACGGCCCCGATGCACCCTGGGAAGGGGGGAAACAAATAAGGTCTTTGATACAACAAAGCCCCTTAATCCAGCACTATTGTTCATCCTGGTCCTTCACCAGCAAAAACAGAAAGAAAAACCATAAAATCACGAGCACTTTGTGATATAAGTACCTTCAGAAAGTATTTTCCCCATTTGATCTTTCCGCACTCTGTTCTGTTACACCTTAATTTGAGTGCATGGAAATAATTTGTTTCCCACTACACCAATAATAAATTCAACATTCAGGATGCAAAAAAATACTTCTTATTCAACTTTAAAGAATGAAAAGGCTCACGTCTCATTTAGAAAGGTAATCACCCCAGAGCTAATTCTTGCCAGGTAGGCCTCTGGCAGTACTTACTCCTCTGAGTATGCCTGCACGGGCTTTGCACATCCCAATTTCGTAATTTTTGCCAGCCTCCTCCGTGCAAATTTGCTCCGACTCAGCGGGCAGCATTTTTCAGGCCGTACCATAGATCTTCAATGGGATTTAGGTCCAGGATTTGGCCAGAGGCCCATACAGGATGCTAACCTTCTTGTTTTTCAGCCAACTCTTTGTAGTGATTGCCATGTGTTTTGGGCCCATTGTAATGCTGGAACATCAGTCTTCTCCACACGTAAATATCTGTTGTTGAAACAGATGCTCCTCCAAAAATTCCCAGTGTTTGGTTTTCAGCCATCATGCCCAGCTTCCCAGTCCCTCACACTGAAAAACAACCTCACTGCATGACGCTCAATGACAGGGATAGTGTCACCTGGACAACTGCTTTCACTTTAAGTCAAGAAGTCCAACTTCAGATTCATCATACCACCAACATCTTCTTCATGAAACTCCTGCGGTCTGTCACATGGGCCCTGTCAGCTGCCATGTGTGAATTAATGTTAGCCTTTCTCAGAAGTCACTTCAAAAAAGTCCAGAACTGTCTGAAGACATTGCTGATCTCTAGACCGTGATTCCCGATTTAGACAATGAGCTCCGCAATTCCATCGGTGTTGCTGCTGGTCTCTTCACTCTCATTCAGTCTCCACTTTTCTCCATTGGGTAGGAGGGCCTGATCTGGGCGGCATCTGAGCTCTTTCATACCGCTTCCAATTTCTTACAACAGACAATTCTTTACGGAAGTTACTTATATACATCAGTATATAAGTAACTGCATTTACATGGATTTTCAGTTGATCTTGCGAAACAACAAAATGAGAAATTATCAGTGAATATATTGTGAAGGCATTATACATCATCTAGGCTGCACAAGAAGAAATCCATAAATATATATCAGGGAAGCCTTTTAATTAAATAAATTACGAAATAAAGTCAGTGTGAGTCATTTCAGGTATTACCTTCGATATGATAGTCAAAGCAGTGAAGTGATTCACTGGATAGGTTGAAGTCATCCACCTGCGACTGCGACGTGATGATCTTAAAGGTTGATATGAGGATTTAACCACATCTACGTCCCTCTGGCAAAGTATCCATTCTCCTGATCGTTGCAGTTTTTGTATTTCCCAACTCTGAGACTCGCGCACGCTTTCATTGAGATTCTGCCTCGATGATAACCGCGTGCATTTACGTAACCAACGTCAGCGCACGCTCAGTGGATCTGTGACTAACAGATCGGAACACAGACTGAACGCTAATTTTTTTACTGAGGGCCAAATTCAACGATAAGGACTTTGGAGATGATCTCCATCACACTGCACAATGCAGTGTCTTCGCTATTGATTTGTTTTGCCTTAATTGAGCTGCCTTGCGGCATTTTACAGTTTTTTTAAATGTACTCAAAAGCAGCACTCTGTACTTTAGAACAGCTCTGCAAAGCTAACGACAGTGTTTTCATAGTGGGATGTCTCAGTAAACATCTAGCAGTTATGACTCATACATAAGTATTATATAAATAGGAAAAATTAGCCCCGGTCTGCCTTTGAATCACAGAAAGTTGGAATGTTTTAAATAAATAAATTACACATGCAAACTTACTGGTTGAGAATTGCTCATGATTAATTTACTTAGATATCAAACCTTCGGCTACCAGTTTAGTCTGGGCTGTCGGGTCAGGTTTGTGCTGGTTCATAACACACACCTTTCTGGCACTTTCTGTTTACCCCGCAGCTTCCCCAAATGCTGGCCGATCTCACGTTTTCTGTGACTCATGCACGTAAAAGCACATCGACAGCTATGGGCAGCTAAAGCTAACAGAGGAGCTGCGTCACATATACACGGAAATTTGCTCTGTGGACATTTAAACCTTTTAAACCTAGGCAACACAACTAGGTACCAAAACAACCAAACAGCACACCATAAGAAAACTAAAAAAAAATGCTGTTATGGCGCCCCGTGGAACTCTCTACAAACTATCAACAGCTGCATGAACACTGGTTTCCTAAGACTAGAATGGAACACATTTAATGAAAATCGATCCTTTATTTACCATTCACACAAGTGTTTGCTTTTCTTCGCCTACCCCATCTTGCTATCCCTGAGACACGGAGACTCATACAGGTGAGAGAAGATTGTGTTTTAAGGCATTTCTTGCCAATCCTGCTGGAAATTGTCTCTCTGAGCCTTTAGGATCCCATGGGATTTCTTGTCCCAGCTCCCTTCTAGGAACCTTTCGATTCCCAAGCCTTTACCTGAGTTCATATGAGTGCTGCACTCATACCCCGGCAAAGTGGAAAGTCAATCCTGGCCCCAGCTAGTACCATTTCAAGTGTAATCGATCGATCTGTCTGTCTGTCTGTCTGTCTGCCTGTCTATTTATTGTTGGTTCGTTTGCTATTATTTATAAATAGGGGAAAGCTCTCAAATTTCTTTTCCTATGAAGGTGCCAGGATTTTTGTCTATGTGCCTTATATAACCATGAAAGCAAAAAATAAATGCCAGGTCTACTGACCCAAAATTCGTCATTCATCACATGGCAGAATGCAAACAGTTGTCTTCGGGTTGTCGTGCAACAGCAGAAGAAAATGTCGGACACAATGAAAAGATACCGAAAATCACACGGAAACTTGGGAACTTACCGGTGCTCGATTTGATGGTCTCCTTCCCAACTGTCTGCCCAAGCAGATCATACTGGTTAAGCCGGGAACCATCCTCTGCCACTACAACTGACTCCGAGGCATTGCGCGTCCACGAGTACGTCACCTCCGTCATCGTGTACGCATCTGCGGAGCAGAGCACACCAGGAGGCAGGATGAAAACTGCTTCTTCCAAACACAAGAGATAACAAGAGATAAAAACACTTTTGTCTCTTGAAAGAAAAGAACATTATTTTAATTATTAACAAAACTACATACATTCAGCTAGATGTATACAATACATAATGTGTGCTACTATATTGTCACTGTTTATTGAAAATTAACAATTGAGGCTTTTTACTATAGATGCAGTACACCTATTGTCGTTTGTGTGATAATGTTTGGCAACTAATTGACCAATGAAAAGATGTTTCATTAAGTCACCTATTTAACAAGTATTTATGTGTGTAAAAATTAACATTTGAATGTCTATGCTGTTCTACGTTTATTTTGTAAAGCAGTTTCTGAGAAAATGCATCTATTCACCCTCCTGAAACAATGAATTTTGGAGATATGTGTTTGTCGTCGGACGGCAAGGCATGAATTGTTGACCTAGACCTGTGGGCCACGTGTGTGGAGTTTGCATGTTCTCCCCATATCATCGTGGGATTTCCTCCAGGTTCTCTGGATTCCCCCGACAGTCCGATGACATGCTAATGAATTGGAGCTGCTAAATAGTTAATGCATGTGAATGGTGTGTGACTGTGCCCTGACATGGGTTGGTGCTCCATCCTGGGTTATTCCCTGCCTTGCACCCTTAGTTTTAAGGATAGACTCCGGACCCCCGACCCTGAATAGGACAAGCAGGTATGGAAACTGGATGGATGGATACTGTAGTATTAAAGTATTATCAGGTAATAATGGTATTTAGCTTTTTTTCTAATTTGTTAATTTAATATGGTTAGTTAAGCATATTTAGTGTTTTGTTTCATTTTTTCAGATTTTTGTTACTCCACAAACCCAAAGTAAACAAGAATGCACAGGATGCTTTGATAATGCAAAACCGGTGGGAATAAAATCTTTATTCAATCTGGGTTGCATTTCATCTGATATGGTGAAAACCGGATTAAAATGTGTTTGTGTTCCTTATTTCAACGAAAAGCGCATTTAGCCATAAAAAGGATACAGCGTCCACACCCACACAAGCAAAATTTCAAATCTGCCGCAATTGCTCAAATATAAATGAACGCTTCTCAATATCCAGTGAGTTGAGAATTCAGCCCACACTGAGAGAAGATTTATGAGGGCAATATACCTGCACCTTCCGCTCCAAATTGAGAGGTCTAACAATAAATAATGGATTTGAGTTACATACGTGAAATCTGATGTAACAAGATGTTGTTCTTTTCTTTTGTAAATGTGTTTGCGTCAATATGGCATTGTCTTAAAATGCACACTTAGAGCACTACATGCTGCAGGTACTGCTGAAATATTTACAAGTATTTATAAAATGCTTTCATGACAGAAACAAATTACCATCCATATCAATGCAGACATGTTTTGATAACACTTTAATAGAGAAAAGCCCATGTACTGGGCTGGATGTCTTTACGTACATTATCTGTCTTTGCTAAGGGGTGTTAGTAACATAGGAGCCTCAGGTAGTCACGTGACACTTCGGTAGATGAAACACAAGCCTCACAATTAAATCAGGTCACAAAACACTGGTGTTCGCCATGAGAGAATCACAACTATAATCATTATTGTTCAGCTCCAATAAGAGATTTTTAATATTCCAAATTTCATACAGTTTTATACAACAAGATTTTCATGAAAACAACTCACTTACAAGGCATAACAATTTGTAAAACTTGGGCTCAAAGCTATACCTTATTAAATTAAAAAAAACTAAAAAAGCTTAAATGCTTCACAACCAGAAGCTGAGCTTGCAGTGCCGAATCTCTAGTTGCTGTACTTCACAATTAAGACAGTTTATATCACAAATTCTCATGTTATCAAAAATCATGCTAATGACCTCTACATTTTCTGACACAAATTACTCCTTTCTCCTCGTTTAAATTTACCGGCATGAGCTATTGAGGTTTGTTCATCGATTTCCGCTGGAAAAGCTACAGTGAAGAGTGTGGTGAGGCTTAGCTTTTGATTGATTTTTCTGACTGATCGATCCACTGATTGATTTCTTTAGATTCCACATGGCTATGTTGACACTTGGCACTGAACAATCAGAGCTACACTGTGGAATCTGCCCTTCTCTGGATCTGTCTGCTCCCATCTCCCTGCACATGGCTGGATATAAGCAGCACTCCTGCCCAACCCCTCCAAGAACATTCTGGCAAGTGAGTTGGTAATTTATCTCCACATCAAGTGACCACATGACATTTTGGCTTCTGGAGGCACTGTGAGCTATAAACCACACTGTGTGTGTTTCTCAATATGAATACTCGACCATACTTGTGTTCTCTTGTACCTGATTTACATCATATTCCATCGCCAAAGACCTGTTCCAAAACGAAGAACAGAAGCACAGAGGATGGTTAAAAATCCTAGGATGTTATTCTTGCTCCACCCCTAAATATCATTGATACATCGTTTGCCAAGACCACATGTACGATCTATCTGTTTTTGGTATTAAGAAACACCTTTGGAGAACTAAGAGTTTATCCATCGTGTGGACCAATTTGTAAGAGCAAAAACGTGGACCTTCTGCTACTCCCTGAGGACCGGGGTGGGAAACCCTGACCTAGACCCAAGAGAGCAGAGGAAAACCAAATTTGTAGGTAGGCACCACTTCAAAACTGCACACAAGACATAAATATACCACATATGCAGATATTAATGTTCGCAAAACATTATGTAAATATTATACATTCAAACATGTCCGGCTAACCTTATTTACTGCCGCTGAGATGTGTCGTGAATGTTACGACGTCACGGCTCATTGTCGATGTGTAGAGATAGGGTAGACAATGGGATTGATGAGGGATGGGGATAGGGGATTAAGGGATGTGATCTGACGGAGGAAGCTCATTCATTGGCCAAATTACTCTGACTGCAAGTTTAACAACGTGTCAATCACAGTCTGTGTAGGCAAGCTATTGGTTGACTGAATAAATTATTATTATTTTAGTCCTTGATTTGTATTGTTTGAATTTGTAATTGTTTATGGGGTTGTCTTAATTATGTTTTGTCTGTGCTACTTTTGCACAGCACTTTGGAAAGCTTTGGTTGTTTAAATGTACTTTGGAAATAAAATTTACATTACATAAACTTCCATTACATGGCATTATAAGTTATATTGTTACAAAACATTGAGTAGGCACATGTCTGGCACGACGCCACTGCTGGAGAGGACATATTATGACCCATTAATCAGCAGAGCCCTCCGCTGCTCCCCTATTCCATACACCAGGCAATAATATTGCTTAAAGCAGCAGCAAATACATTTATCATCCATCATCACTTCTGGATGCTTCAGTTAAAGTCGCTGCCATATAACATTCCTTGAGATCTCCAGCGGTGGTGCAGTGGTTAGCACTGCCTCACACTTCCAGGACCAGGGTTTGAGGCTCCATATGTGTGGAGTTTGCATGTTCTCCCCCGTGTCCTTGAGGGGTGTCCTCCAGGTCAATCCAGTTTCCCCCCACAATCCAAAATCATGCTAATGTGAACTGGAGGTACCAAATTACCCATATGTGTGTGCAAATGGTGTGTGTGACTCCCGCGATGGGCTGGGCCCCCCACGATGGGCTGGCCCCCCCGCGATGGGCTGCCCCCCCCGCGATGGGCTGGCCCCCCTGCGATAGGCTGGCCCCCCCGCGATAGGCTGGCCCCCTATAACCTGGGATAGGCTCTAGAACCATGTGGTCCTTTAATGACTCAATGCATCTGTACAAGGTCCGGACCCAGATATCCTATAGTTTGCCTAAATGCAGGACAAGGAAATTTTACCAGTGATTCATCTCAGCTGCCACTGGCCATTTAAATAACTCAGTGTAATTTTTATACTGCAGTTATTCTTCACTGGCTTTTTTATTTTTAACACAAAGGGCTTTTTCTGTTTTGTCTATTTATTATTGTTTGTCTGATGTTTGTGGGGATGTAACTGCTCTCTGACTGACTGGGGGACAATAAGGATCTGCTCGGTCCTTGATCCTCGACCCCTTGATGCTTGAATAGGACACGCGTGTACAGAAAATGGTTGGATGGAGATCTTCAGCCTACTGCAATACTTTCAGGGTTTTACCCTCAGCCTCAAGCACCTTAAGCAGAGGTATAAAAGCAGAGCAACCTCGTGGTTCTGAGTTCAAGTCCCAAACAGCTACTCCGCACTCTGCCAGGTAGCCAGAGAGCCAACATTCAGGCTGAACACAAAGTGCAAAAAACATTTAGTCCTGCTTGGCAGCTTATTTGTGACCCACAGTATTGATATACTTACAGGGATATCAGTCACTTCACCTTTATCATCTACCCTGTCAGAAAAAAAGGTACCAATTTGTACCTTTGCTAGGGCTGCACCCTAAAGGGTCTGCCAATTGTACCCTAGCTGTAGGTAAATGTACCTTTCAGTCTAATTTAAGGTACAGAAATGGACTCTGAGGAACATCCCCAAGGTACAAATAACATTAATGTACCATCAATGGTCCAAAAATGTTCCTTAGAGTCCATTTCTGTATCTTAAAAGGTACATTTACCTACAGCTACGGCTATAATTGACAGACCCTTGAGGGTACAGTCCCATCGCGAAGCAAAGGTACAAATTGGTACTCTTTTTTTTTGACAGTGTACTGGTTCCCCAGCCTGGGCTTTGAACACACTACAGTTACCAGTAGCAGCCAGTGTATTTCACAAGTGAAATGATCGTCGCTAATCATCGAAAATCACAGTAGCGTAGCCGTGACTGTGACCGGCTTTGTGCTGCGAAGATCACTGTTTGCTGCCGTCTCAATCGGAGGAAGCCGTACTTTCCGGCGTGCGTCGCTTCTGCCCGTTAATACGGGCTTTTTTTATTACCGTCATTTTTGCGAATGATCGCTACACGAGAAGAGGCTGTATTGGAATATGAAGCACTGTCTAAAGTGCCTAAAATAGCTTACAGTTACAAAATTCAGAATTATATTTATGACAAGCACATTTCTTACTGTTAACAACAACTATTAGTAAACTATTAGTAAAGCTTTTCCTTAGACCCTGGAACCCAACTGGCTTCATTTATTAAGTCGCTGTTTTCCGACCGACGGGCTGCTCAGTTAGCCAGCGGTGACAGACAGGGCTGCCCTCTCCCTCCAGGCCCTGCCCTGGGGGCCTGCCCTGCCCGTCATCAGAGAGACAGGGAATTGGTTACCTGCTGCCTCATAATGCTTCTAATTAAGATGAATTACCCTTACGTCGCTAATGTGGCTTCCACGCGATTGCGACTGCACCTGCCCATCCGAATGGGCTCTGGAAAAGTCAAGATTAAGGGGCTGGGATACAGCTATTATGTTTGAAGAGAAGCCACGGTGTTATGGATATTTAACAGCTTCTCTTATCCAAAGCAATGCACAATTGAAGAAGCAGCGTCAGCCAGTCTCAACAGCAATCGAGATTGTTGGTCAGGGGCACAACAGTGAAAACACTTTACCCACCCTGGGATTTGAACCTACGACCTTCTGATTATAAGAACAGCACCCTAACCAGCTGAGTCACACAGAGCTGAAGGTGGCCTGTGAGTAACAGTATTAACAATAAGTCACCTTAAGTTGAAACAGAAACACTATCACATGATCTTTGACAGAGATTATTGTTAACCGTGTCGGGACATGGATACTTTAATGTGTCACCCCAAGCACATTCTGAGGGCGTCTACATGGTCACCTGTCAGCACTGTGACTGCAAGCAAAGGCTGGGAGGCTCGGCTGGTGAGGGCAAGGCTTGCGGAAATAGGGGAGCAAATGGGGAAGAAAATAAAACACTCGGTAGGGACAGAGGGATTTACAAACGGGGAGTTGGCTGCTGACATACTGGCTGTGATCTGTGAACTGGCTTGTGGGACCCATGCAGACAAATCATTCCACAGCGAAGTTGAGGAAAAGGCTGACTTTCACAGTGGCTTTGATGCGCACTGACATGCAGAGACGTTTCCTGTCATTCCAGGTTGTTTATTCGCCCTTATTTAGGATTCAAGACCTTGTCGTCTCATACCAAAATGTAAGCAACATATGGGATTTCTTTCACATTCATAACAACAGATGCAGCATACAACATTTCATTATAAACACAAGTGAACTTACTGTAGATAATCCAATTAATTCACATGCATCTTATACCTGGGGTGGGGACTTACAACAAAAAATTATAGAAAACATTCCCCCACGACAAAATTCAAAATCATTTCTGCTATATTTACCTGAGGCTAAACCAAAATATGGATAAAATGGAAATGGAACGACTCAAAATTATTTTTTTTTCTGGCTTATGTGAAACTTGTAAACACCCTAAAGCAAATTTTATAATTAGAAATATCCATTCTGACCTAATTATTTTATATATTAAAAAGAAGCATTTCCACAACAGTTTAATAGCCTCCCTAGTCTCCTGAACATATGCAAAAGAGTTGTACCTTTATTGTTTATGGTTACAATGCCATAAAAAATCTCAGGGCTTTTAGCCAACTGTTTTAAATGACGGGTCATTATTTTTAAACTTTACGTGCATCCATGAAACCTAAATAATTTACAGAAGAGTTTATATTTTAATGATGAACTCATACCGCCAGTTATGCAACTTTTGTGAGGGGAATAATAAAAAAATACTTTTAATAAACATTTATTGAGCTTTTTATGTATAGATTATAAATTGCATGTGTCACTTTCATAGGAGGGGAGCTGTGGAAATCAGTGTGATGAAAATAAGATTTATTCAGGTGGAATGACGCCAGCCTCATATTCTTAAGGTAACCATGTGGCAATTATGTTAAGAAATGTTTTGTACAGAGGTGCTAAGCCAATATCAGGGAAAGCATCTATTTCTGGTAAGAGGTTCTTATCCCAAAACCTCGCAGACATTTTAAGAGAACAGATAAATGGAGTTTGACAGTTTGTTTTTCTCACACAAATCCCATGCTCACAATTGAGAGAATGTATTAAAAAGTTTTTTAAATATTTAGAGTAAAAACATGACAGTATGATATAAAAAATAACTACATATGCGGTGGCTCTGTCTTCCTGTTCCCAGCAATGGGAAATCAATCCATCCATCCATCCTTTCCGACCGCTTATCCTGATCAGAATCACAGCAAACATGGAGCCTAGCCTAGGATCACAAGGCACAGGGGTGGAGTGGAACCGGGATGGGATGCCAGTCCATCACAGGGCACGAGGCAGGGGGCGCTCTGGATGGGATGCCAGTCCATCACAGGGCCCACACATGGACACAATCACACATACAATCCCACTCTGTAGGCAGGGGCTGACATAACTGGCACACAAGTACGCCCTTAGCGTTCAGTATAAAGGTTATTCTGTGTGTTTATGCTGAAATGACCGCACGTTTTAACCTTTATGCATGCTCGCAGGACATTTATGCCAGTCCTCATCTGTAAGTAACAGAGATATGCCAGTAAGCAAAGCTGCGATGGAGTTGCGTTCCTATGAAGTTTGACTACCACTGAAAGCGCATCACCATCGTATCACCATAAAGTGGAAATATCGTCATAAACTGAGGACCATCTGTGGGTGTGTGTGTGTGTGGATTATGTTTATATATACATAATGGATACCAAATGTTCCTTGCAATGTCTCGTATTCTGTTTGGTTACTTATGGTTAAGGTTAGGGCTGGATTGGGGTTAAGGTTGTCATGATGGGATTGGAGTTTTCCCCGTAGAAATGATTGGAGAGTCCCCACAAAGATATAATTGCAAACCTGTGCGGTGTGTGTGTGTGTGTGTGTGTGCATCTATCTATATATACAGCCATATGTATCCATATTAAATGCCAGGCCAGTCAGGTTTCCTGTAGCTTTTGGATTCACGGTCCGGCCGTTACTTACAGCTGCCAAACTTCAGGGGACAGGAGTGTGAGTCCATGGGAAAGTCTTCCAGATGCATGGGACACTCGGCCTGCACCGTGAGCCTGGAGGCACAAACAGAAGCAGCGGACCTTGCTCATGGTGCTACGGCAGTAACAACAGCTGCCAAGCCGGATTATAGGGGTCTGGTCAGAGGAGAATGTTACACTGATGATATTCCCCCAGCGGGACGTAATAAAAGTGCCATTTCTGGCAGAAAATGCTTTGCTTAAAAATGAGCGAGTTGTCAGCCCGGATAAACCCCAGGGAGGAATATTTTAAGTAAATAAGAATAGTTCGATATTAATGAATGATAAATGATTAAGTATATAGAGCCCTGCCACAGATTCCAGCATTTAAGATGACTTTCATTGAAACTTTTCACGAGTAAATGCACGATTTACACAGCACAGCTGCTGAACTTTGCATAGTGTCTACATTTGGCAGGTTATTTCCCGTATGTTGCTTTCATTTTCTAAGGACCTCACTTTTAACCATAATTAGCCCATCATGGAATTGACTGCTTGCAGGTCAAAGCCAGGCTACATGATAAATTACATCCTTACTGACATGTAAGCCTCGTTAGAAAAACAAATAAACGTGCAATTTGTCCGGCTGCGCCAGAATCGGTCATTGATCATGTGGCCAATTGAACTTGCGTAATTATCCCAGATGAAGAATTCAGAGGCTCTGGTACGCATGAGGCATAGTTTGTCTTTCCCCAGCACCTGTCAATATCCGAGCGGCCACGCAACATGACAAACGCTAATTCGTTTCTGACCACCCTCCCTGAAAGAAATATATCTGAGTTTATTTAGTACAATCTTGATGCAATTTGTTGTGGACTCAGTGTAGCCTGTACCTCATGGTGTAGAGTAAGGTCCCATCCTCCTGGATCCGCAGAAGCTTGTTCGGCATGGTCATGTTGTGGGCCACTGACTTCTTCCCATTGTGGAAGAAGGTATCTGGGGTCCAGATCTTGCTAGCCATCAGGTTGTTCAGGCGCAGAATGTTCATCGGCCCATTAAACTTCAGCCGCTCGTCCTTCCAGCTTTGCCTGAAGAACACGTCTATCGTGTACTCCTGTGAGCACAAACCGGGGGTGGGGGGGTGAGTGCAGCAGTGCTTCAAGCTGAAATTAAACAAACCTCCTTCTTGCTGGAAAGCTGTGAGTTAAATCCCTTTTGAGTCATGATGTACATAAATTGCCCGATATTTTGGCACTCTGGTCAACGCATATGGCCTGCGAGTAAAGGAGGTCTGTGAGTAAAGGAGGTCTAACTTACTTACCAAAGAGACACCAGGAACACAGCTAAAATATATTTTTTTAAATTGCTGCAAAAATATTCTGTTAGGTGCAGTGCACAAAAGTTGGTTTGATTCTACATAAAACATCTCAACTGAATAAAGCTTGTCTGTAAAGTCACGAGACATACAGAGGCATTAGCACCAGCTGAGTTTAGTAGTAAAAAATTTGAAACCTGCATAATTTATGTCTGATTTTTCTTAAATGAGTGTCATGGGTTTCTTTTGTAAGGTTTTATAGATTTTATAGATATGCTTTTAACTGTTAAAATTAAGTATTTGAACACATCTGCTCCTTTATTCTGGGAATTATCTCTACCAGCAGACACACACACACACACACACACACACACGCACGCACAACACCCATGCACGCATACAACATGCACAAAGCACAGCAGGCATGTTTTTCTGAAGGTACTGGAGCCATCTACGTGGATGTTGTTTTGTGCCATTTTTTCATACAGGTTTTCATCTCCTGGCATGTGTCAGAGGAGATCTGAATCACTACCTATCCTTCAGGCCCCTGTTTGACCTCAACAGCAGTAGCACTGCATCACGAAGGGGGGGAGACGTGTGGATGGGGTTTTGTTTTTTCAATTTGCTGTCATGCTTTACGGACTTCCTACAGCTCCTGCGTTCAGAAGCTGGATTCCACCCCCCCCCCCCCCAACACCACCAAAATGTTGTGTTCTAAGCTCTCAGTCTCAAAACACTGCCCCTCTGCCACCCCGGGTTAAGTCAAACGCTCCTTCAGTCATGCCTTCAGCTGCAAACCACCAGCTTTGAACACTGCTCATTAAATCCTTTTTGTCAAATGCCTTTTAGTCACTAAATTTCAGTAACTGAACACTGTTCCTGTTGTGGGTGGTATGTGATCCTCCAGGGTTCTGGGTTCGTTTTCTGCTCCTGGTTCTGTGTGTGCGGAATTTTTGTCCCTGTTTTTTTTTTTTTTTCTTTTTTTGGAGATTTCTCCTATCTACACAGGTTTCTTCCAACGGGCATAAATGAATAAATGTCTGAGTGAACTGGGATCCTTAAATTTCCCATAGTGTGTGAGCGCGTGACCTGAAATGGAGTTGACCTGATGCACTTCCCAGGATAGGCTCACGCCTCCCCAGAACCCTGTGCAGGATAAACATCCACCCAATACAGAAGAATGGATGAATGTTCTTGCGTCTGTGAATAATCAGTTTCCACAGAGCTCAGACCGTTCCGTCTGAGCCGATATTCGTTGCCTAAAAGGAGATAAAAATATCCTCATTCACTAGGCCACACCAGCAGGCCAATCTGGTGAGCAATCTTCACTGGAAGTGTCAGGTACATCCCACAGGTAAATACGCACAGGCTCAGACTTGAGGGGTCGTTCGCGATATTTCTCTTCCCGACTGTGATGTAGGCAGCTGGAATTTGGCTGCAGTGTACAGCTACTTTGAACTGAACTGTGTGCGGCTTCCAACTGGATTTTCCTCACGGCGCGACGGAGATCAGACGGGACATGAGCATTTTGGAAGTGCGGATCGTCTCCTGCGGGTTCATGCTACGATGACATACTATTCTTCAGCATCTGGATAAAGTCCCATACATCTTGGGACCCATCGGGCCCATTAAACATTAACAGTCATGCCTAATTTACATCTTTCCGGTTTCATTAATAGAAAAGTGGCTGATGTCTCTGGGTATCTGTATTCCTTCCAGGCAGCTCGGATTTGCCTGTTTTTCTCAAAACATGTTTAGATGCATTGAGAAGAATTAGTTTCCTATGTTATAAGGACTCATTTAATTTTTTATGTTTTCAAATATAATATATTGAACAAACCTATCATAAACGATGAAAGGGAGCAAGCATAACTAATAAGAAAGCTGATAGGAGGATTTTCAGCAGAAATGAATACACCCAGGGCTACCTTGGGAGTTAAGGTTCCCTAGGTGATATTCTGAGTGCCCCCCACCACTCAGAGCAGCAGAATTTTTTTTTTGTCAATTCATTTTGCCCTATATTAAAACTATTTGTGTAGCACATGGTATCTGGCTGCTAACTAGCTAGCTGGCACCTGTTTCACAAGAGGGGTATTGAAATATCAAAACTAATGTAAACAACCGTCATGACACGAAATGCAGCCAGAAGATTTCTGATTTTTTTTCACTCGCTCTTTTGCGCCCCCTAATGAAATGGCAGCCCTGCCAATCAGCCATGTCACCTATAGTGCAGTCCAGCCCTGATTACATCCAGTCCTCGGGGAACCCCAGACAGTCCACGTTTTTGCATTCTCTCAGCTCCCAGCGCACCTGTACCAGGTATTCGGTGTTCCTGATTGGCTGGGAGCTGGGAGGGAGCAAAAACGTGGGCTGTCCGGGCTTGCCCGAGGACTGGGTTGGGAAACACTGCATTAGACAACATATCATTCACTTTTGCACAGTTTTGTATCGTTTATTGTTTTGTAATTCTGTAACAACCTATCCTGTACAGCAGTGACAATCCGGTCCTCAGGGACCCACAGTCGGTCCACATTTTTGCTCCCTCCCAGCTCCCTGCCAGACAGTCCACAAAGACTTGGATTGTCTGGGGGTCCCCGTGGACCGGATTTGGAAAAACTGCTGTACAGGATCATGGTGATCCTGGAGCAAACTCCATCACCTGCATTTTCGCTAACAGTAAAATCCACGACACGTGTGCCTTACAGATCTGCTTCTGCATTCCTCAGTCACATCACATCTTTAGAACAGTGTTTCCCAACCCAGTCCTCGGGGAACCCCGGACAGTCCATGTTTTTGCTTCCTCTCAGCTGCCAGAGCACCTGCACCAGGTATTTGGTGTTCCTGATTGGCTGGGAGCTGGGGGGGAGCGAAAACGTGGGCTGTCCGTGGTTCCCCAAGAACTGGGCTGGGAAACACTGCATTAGACAACATATCGTTCATTTACTTTTGCACAGTTTCATATTGCTTATTGTTTTGTACTCTTGTGGCTGAATGAGTAAGTATTCCAGCAGCGGACACTGAATGCCAATCTGTGGGAAATATAATGAGCAACAGAGAGACACCATTTCACTTAATTTTAGACTTTGGGATAAAAACCATGAAAACCTAGAATCACACAAAACTCTGCAAGTTCCAACGGTTCGAAGCAAACTTGCTAATCTGGAGGTGTGAAGCCATGGCATCCCCACCCCCCCCCCTCGCAAACAGCCATCCCTACCCCCGACATGATTACACAGCGTCGAAAAAAAATTGACCGTCATACTAAAGAAAAAGTGTCACATTCTTGTGCCACGGATGTCAGAATTCAGAGGAAGTCTTACTTTGAAAAATAATAACAAAGAGGCAGCTATGGGTGGAATAACGCTCAACTTTATCGCTTTTCCTCTCAAAAAGAACACAAAAGATGGAAAAAAAAACACAAACTGAGTAAATTATGCATGCACCATATCTGTATTTTCTGAACTACTCTGGTCTGAACATTCCCCCCCCCCCGCCACACTATTTTCTGAGCATTTGAGAGCAAAAGGTTGTGTTAGGTAGAGCATTAAGAGGCTGGCGAAACAGAGAAGTGGTTTAAACAGGTGGAATCCAAGAATAGACTGAACGCCTGTCGGATGCAGGGAGGCTGCTTGGGCAGGAAGGCAGGCATTAGGACTAAACGCTAAAAGCAGCCTGAGGAAGTGTGACCTTACCTTCACGTGTGAAGTGACCTTCCTTCCTGAAAATACCCACAACAACCAAGACCACTGAAATGCCGGACACAGACTGAACAGCGACCATTTGATTAAGGCTCATACCATAAAATGCTAAACATATAATGTTCCGGGCAATAAAAAAAATATTTTAATTACTGCTCCTCAGTATTTCATAATACTGTGCCTTTAGAGAGGCTATCAGAAAGCATTATATGACTGCTGCATTGCTCTTAAGCAAATCCCTCAGCGTTGTATTGTGTTGGTTCTTACTTAAAAGGGATTTTATCATAATAAACAAAAAATGTATGGCAAAGGATTGTGGTAAATTAAAGACACAACATATTCAAATGAGACCGAATCAATTATTCTGCAATCTTTGTAGCTTCAAGCAACATAAGAATGTCTTGTAAAGTATTTTTTAAGATGATATTTACACAAAAATTTAGAAGACCAAAGCTACCCAAGTCAAGCGTAAGAACATCTGAAGCTGTCTTTTATCACATACATATAATTTTTTTCAGTTGGTAGCATTACCCTTCATTGACTAATTAATTAACTTTGGAATAATTGATTAATGGAAATAATGAGCTGTTTTTTTTTTGAGTCAGATAAAACACCTGCACTTTAATCCACCTGCATGTTGTCTCGATAAGGATAACCAGGTACCAAATCCACAGCAAGGCACCCCCATTCTGTAGTACTTGAGAAAACACGTAAGCAGAACATGAACTGTACCTGCTGAAAGCTCTCAGTGGGGATCTATAATTTATACACGGGCGATTAACTCATCCTTTGAAGTAATCCCCCACCCTCACAACAACTAGCTGCATAAGGCCACTGGTATTTCCACATGTCATGACATCTTTATCATTTTTTTTTTTTTAACAAACACAAACTGATTATTCTGTGGCAACACAGAATGTGTAAGAATATACAATTGCCCCCACAAATCTCCGTGTCTTTGATGAAGTGTTACCAAAAGACAAATGAGGAAATGCCGTATGAGACAACGGTAATCACCAACTGTTATCGCTAATTTTCTGCCATATTTATGCACGCACAAATCAATTTTAAAGCTTCCGCGGACTGACAGCTCCATAATCATAAACTTATTACCAGGACTGGTGATTGGTATTTCATGCCTTTTATGTTCATTACAGGCAAATCACCTGACTAACACACTAATGGGGTCATCTGACTGGGTCATTCGATCATACAATGTCTTTTACAGAATGAAGTCATTGAAGGCAAACTCACAGTGATGGCAAAATTGCATCAACACTTAACAATAACAGCAATCTAACAGAAACACTGTTCTATTTCAATATCTCTGTATTTATATTACAAAGATAAACACATATAGATGGACAAAATAATGGAAAAACCATATAAAAAGGACTGTAACTCACCGCAAGAAATGATCGAGTAGCTACAAAAGTATAAATCATATTAAGTTGCACATCACAGGGTGGCCGACGGTCAACTGGCTAGAGTCAAATTTTCAACTGGAGACGTCTGCACACGCATGCACACGCATTTACATGTATGTAACAGTTGTATCACCTTGTAAATTGTCTGTATGGTTTGCAAACTTCCCCAATGCTTTTGAAGTAGAAAATTTTAGGTTTATAATGGAATAAAAGTCTAAGAGTCTGAAAGTGTGAGTTGGTCTCCATGATGTCAGTTAGCCTGAGCTATAGAAGACGATGACTTAGATGTGTGAGTTATAATTCGATATGAGGTAAGTACAGGAGTTCCAAAGTATCAGTTCCGGAACTGCAGGTGCATTGGTCATTAAAGCTACAAAATTATTTGATGTGTCAAGAGGAACAGTTCCATAAATCCAGTTGGCGTATGCCAAGCATCTACGTAAAGGTGGAAAGGAATAGTGTTCTCAGGTCAAAGCTCACTGATGGAGACAGATGGACACATAAATGAAAAGCTACTGAACACCACGAAAATATGGTTTTAAAAATTACCCCAGAACTGAATCAGCATCTTTGTGAGCCAGTCTCAATAAAATCCTTACATTGCCAGCTTTACGGAGCTGGAATTTATGGCAGCGCTACCATCTGGGACATTGCTTATATCCAAGGCCGATGCGCAAAGATGCATAACCTGGTCTGAGGAGCTCATGGTCCGGACCCCTAGGCAATTGAAAAAGCAATATGGTCTGATGATTCATATTTCTACTTGTTTTTTTCTAAATCCAGATGGGTTTGCTTTAGAGAAATGAAAAGGATGCCATCAACCCAGAGCGCCCCTGGGTATGGGCCGCCATCTTGTCGGAGTCATTAGGTGTAATGATGGCTCTGCTTGGCCATATAATGGCCTAGGAATAGGAGGATATTTCACGGGGCCAGGAGCTCCCAGTGGTGTAAACATCGTTCCTTCGTGATCTGCCCATATTTCAGGAAGTTAATGCCGGCATATGCACTGCTAAACAAATTCAACAGTATTTTCATGAACACCAGTAATCAAACACCTACCGTCAACTCCCTGATCCTCAGCCCTAAACCACTGAACCTTTATGAGAAGTGGAAGAGCACATACTGTGTTCCTCCCTCAGAAAACTGGAAGCTTTCTTGAAAAATGGGCCAATACTGAACATGTATGACAGCGCATCAGTGAAGCAGTTCTGAATGGTGGCCCTACTACTCATTACGTCCTTCATATTAGGTATTTAACACATTTTACCCGCCCCCTTAGCATGTGGAAAAGGTGCTTCACATCATTATTGTTATCACTGCTACTGATACTACTACCTACACTAGTTTCACAAATGTACTTCGCATAACACCCTCTCAGGAAGAATGTGACAAAAACTACTTTGAAGGCTGCACACCATGCGAAAACACTCCCCGAAGACCTCTGCCCGTCTCTCACTTAGCAGAGACACTCTGCAAGCTAGCTATTAACCCCAAAGCTGGGAGAAAAGCTACACACCCCCCCCCCCCCAAAAAAAAGGTTAGCAGACTTCTTTTTTTTTTGCCCTAAAAGCTTCCATAAATAAAGTCCACAGTGGAGAATAAGTTCTCCCACAACAAGAGGAAAAACTCCCGCCCACATGCACTCGAACGGTGCCATCTGAAAATACCAATTTCCAGAACTTTCTCCAACTCGTTCAGTGTAAAGGCCACTAAAAACAAATAATGGTAAAAAAAAGAAAAAAGATCATATTTCCAAGAGGGAAATAAGTAAAAAAGCACCATTATGGCTGAGAAGTATAGAAAATCCTTTATATCATCAATTGATCTTGCCAAATTATACATAATTGTACTTAAAACATTCATTTCATACTCTAAGACAAAAGAGAGAAATGTTTTCAGATTTTTTTTAACTGACATTAAGTGCATTATGTAACAGTACTTTAAAAAAACCCAAACTGCCATGGCGTTCTGTCTTCTGGACCTTATCTCCATCCTAACAATCCTGATCTTCACAGAAACGGTTGACCATACAGAGAGCACTGAAACGTGCACTGCAAACAAAAACTCACACGAGAATTGCGAGAATTACTCAGCTAAGATGTGGGTGCCTGCTGTATCATAGGCAGAGCCTGTCTGCGTACTTCTTAGTGGCACAGGCGCCAAACAAATTTATGTGTAAAAAATAATCTAAAAGCCACAATCTGTATCATTATGTTTTGTGTGCCAAATAGCGGTACCCTTCTAGAAAACTCTGCCAACTTCAAGAGAAGCAATACATTCTTAACATTACACAAGACGAGAGAATTATAACGTTGTCTCACATGCAGAGGGAAAAAAATTGAAGAAATCTGGGTCTCTGGATTGTCTTCTGAGAAAGACAGATATTCGACAAGATTGATATTCCACTCTATTCTTGGTAAATGTCATCAGTTTTTAGCTGCTACAGTAAAAATCTGAGCAAAGTCTAGCAACCTGTAGAAGATACAAGAAGCGACATAGCATGTCTCCGATGTGACGGCTACCAACACGGAGATGGATCACTCCACGGGAAAGATCTGACAGGTCACATGGCCAACAGTGTCCGAGAGTCAGGATTGTGGTTCCACTCGCTTTCATAAACCTTGTTTGCATTTGTTTGGGCAATCTTTACAGTCGTGAGTTAATATTACCATGGTCGGCATATTTTGGAACAAGAAAATGTCACTACATCATGAAAAAAAGGATCATTGTATTATGGGTGAACCCAAACTTTCGCCACTAGGCTTAGATGTGATCCCACAACCTACTGGGCGCCACACAAACTCTTTTGCACTATTGGACACAGGCCCCAACCCTAAGCAACTAACTACATGAGAAAGAAGGATGTGAAGTCTCATAACATAACATTTTCTCTTCATACAATATTCAAGTACAGTGGTACCTCGGTTGTCGAATTTAATCCGTTCCGGACCGAATCCTAAAAAGTTCGAGTTCTGATCGAATTTTTCCCATAAGAAATAATGGGTTCCCAGCCCCCCAAAATTACACCTAAATATGTTTTTTTTTTTTTAGCATTTAAACACAAAATGAACAGGATAAAACAAGAACATTTTTTTCTTAATGGCTTCCAAAACGATAAAGATCTTATCCCAACATTACCCCTGTCCTGCTCCGATTGTCCGCTCCTTCAGTGTGCCACGCCCCCTCGTTAACCTCGTGTGGGATCCTCATGTGATCAGCTGTTTCTGGTTGTTGTCATTAGTCCTCTGTATTAAGTCCACGTTTCAGTCTGTTTCCCTAGTCCGGTCATTTGGTGCGTTCGACTTGCTTACAGCGCTGGCTTAAAGCAACGCATTCTGATCCTGACGCAATGCATTATGGTTAGATGCATTGCGACCTCTCACCTGGCTGCACAAACTGGACCCGCCTACGTGACGACACACCTTTGCCCTTATTGGCTGAAGAATTTAGTTACACGCATGACGCTTTTATCCCAGGCAGTTCCGATGTGTAATCTGCTATTTCTACCGAATATCACGTAAAGCAGTGAGAACTGGTTTTCAGTTAATTTACCTGGTAAAATAAAGTTTAAATAAATGACATAAATGCTCTAATAGTACACATAAGTTAGTGGTTTATTTATTGTTAGTTACAGTGATGTAGCACTGCTTTATTTGGTTAATCGTCCAGTCTGTGAAGAAGGCATTCAAGTAAGAATTGCATTGTAGTATGACTCATTTCACGGTTCGACTTCTGACATTCAGATCGAGTTCTAGGTCAAACTGCTTTGTTCGACTTTCAAGAAATTCGAGTTCTAGTGAGTTCGAGAACCGAGGTACCACTATGCTTGTCAATAGCCATTTCAAGCCAGAACCTACCATGTCCGTATCTGATACCGGCCCAAAACTGGTGACATAAATGTTGGTCTTCACTTCTGTCACACGATCTGTAAAAGAAAAACAGAAAAGATAAACATCACAAATGAGAACAGCACCGACATCGGTTATAATTAATTCCTACCAGCAAAGCTTAGTGCAGCGGCTATGCTGTTTCCATAAAATGGCAGTGAATCAATCATATTTGAGTGGAGCAACTTCCTGGAAAATGAATCCTTTAGAACGCCCTCCAACGGCTGGGGAGCGATTCTACCCCAAAGTTAAGTGGCAGTGGCGGCATGGAGATATCCTGCCCGTAACGAGGCATCCTGGTGCAGAAGCAGCTCCACAAATCTCCATGGGCTGGTAAACTCACCCACTCCCACAGACATCGGCACCGACTAGCAGGGCATTCCAAGTTAATAATTAACACCCCTGTGCACCAGCCTGTCCCCCCAGTTTTAATAAATCTTCCCCAGAACAGGTCACTACAGGAGCACGCACCCTTGGTGGGCCGAGTTACCCGAATCACCTCTACGACGTCACAGCGTCCTAAATCTTCACTGCCTGTAAACTGACCTATCCTCACGCACTGCATATGTGTCACCTTAGCTGAAGTAAAAACACAGTGGGGGAGGGATTAAAATAAATTAATAAAACTGCACAATTTGGTGAAGACATTGAGTTGTCAAAAAAAAAGGTAAGGTTTCCTTAAACTTGCGGACTGGGTTGGGCGGGGATGGTGGCTGGCAGGGGGGTGAAGCCAACCGTGGGCCAAAAAATGTCAGACTTGACCGTGTGACGATAACCTGGCACCACCTCAAATTATTAAAAAGGTGCTTACTTCCAGGACCTTCTATCAACGACGACATCATCTCATTATAGGAGCGGTTTGGCATTTAAATTTTTGATCAGCACTTTCTGGAAGATCGCCTGTCGTCTGCGGCCTGACTGAGCACATTCTTTAATGGGTTCAAAGAATATATAGAGTTTAATGCGAACGTTGTTGTATAAAGTGCCTTTAAGTCTTGGATTGTGTACCGGGTGATTATGGGAATGGAGGACTGACTGGTTTTGGTGACCTGGGGGTTTGTCAGAGGACGAGGAACCCAAGCCAGGACTTGCTGGACATTCTGTTTCCCGTTTGGCAGAATCACAACACACCACCATCAGCTTACAATGTCCAATGGACGGGCTTACGGTGTCACAATGAGCGGGAAGCCATATTTAATACCTGTCTGTGCGGAAGCTTGTCCCTGTCGTTTATCCCCTATGCTGAGAGCTGTAGCGACACACAGAGGATGGGGAGCGGCTGTCTTTTGAGGGAGACGGGATCTGGGCCCTCGTCTGTCGTGACAGATGGACGCTGAGGCGGCGAGTGGCCCTGCTTTGTCAGAAGGACTATCCAAGTCCCATTCAAACACCCATCAATAATACATGCCCTTGTTGGTAAGTAGAGTGTGTCCTTGGGGGTAACTGTGCAATCGCAATTATCACACCCAAAATGACGAGCACAAGCCCTACATCTATAAATGCAACCTGAGTCAGTAAGGAGTGAGGCAATATGGGGGGAGGGTCATGTGTGGGGTCATGTGACTGAGGTTGATGGAATAAGTCGGTAAGGAGACCCCAAACTTGGATGAGGTTTTATTTATCTGGCTGCTGTTTATTGAGCTGGAAACAGCTGTGTTTTTGGTTGATTTGGAGAGAGGGCAATCTATAGGCAATATGGGGGGTTCAGGTGGCATAGGACGGCTATTTGTGGTGATGAAAGTCTGACCCTGGAGAATGCCATGCTACCAGACCACTTCTTTTCTTTCTAGCCGATGTCAGAAAATGGGGAAATGAATGGCAATTTAAGTAAACAGAGAGGATGACAAAGAGGCCAGCGGATGAAGCCTGGGCACAGAAAGGGGGGGTGTGCGCGTGGCAGGGATGCCACCCGAGCGCGGCTCGCAAGTCGCCTGGCGGCGGTCTCGCCCCCGCGTGCTTCTGTTAGCCCCCATTATCACTCAGGCGCTAATTGAAAAGCTGCATTTCAAGGCCACAGAAGTCTTGAAGAATAAGGGAATCTATTCATGTATATCGACTGGCTTAGCAGCCATTGGCTGAGCTTTCTGTGTCATTATCCCTAACGGTTTCAGTAACCACACGCTTGGCTGGTCACCACTTTGTGTTACGTGGCTCTCTTAAGCCCCTGCCTTAGAAGGACTATAACACCTTCCAACATCCAAATGAGCCGCTGACACGGAAACATTTATATAACCGAAAATCTAACTCAGAAGGTAGACAAATTGCTGCCAAATGAATCAATGCTCTCTTTCTGGAAAGTTCCAGGGAATATGTACCAATTAGCTAGAAGAGAAACAGTGTTTTCACTCGGAGTGAAGGAAAGCAGCCAAGTTCATGTGTTTGTTCGTACAGCACTTATGTATTTCATGGCAAACGAGGGCTGTTTACATGTTAAAATATGACAGGACTGAGAGTGAGTAGTTTGTTTCAAACGGCAGCTTAGGACAGAGAGTGAGAGATCAATCCGGCGACCATACAAGCACGAACTCGATCTGGTTCCTCCGCAGTCCACTGCAAACCCCCATGGCAGTGAGGCTTCAGGCTGCTCCGAGGCGCCGTAAACAGCGAGCAAAACGCGCGCTTGGGCAGCGGGCCGGGCAGCAAGAGGGGGGGGGGGGGCGTTTGATTCATCGCTCGCAATCAGGCCAAATTGCTGGCGCTGTCAGGCGGCAATGCGAGAGGAAGATTTGCGACGGCACGTGGCCTGTCTGGCGAGCGCTGACGGGGGGGAGAGAAAGTCAGGTGACCTAACCTGTCATCCACCAAGTTGCAGTTGTTCCTCACAGAAATCCTTTGCTGGAAACAGGAGTTCCAGAACCTTCCACCTGTCCCCAGTTCGCCCCTAATCCTGCACCTCCTCCTTCATGATCCCGGTCCTGTTTTCACTATTAAGCCCACATTAGCTCCCTTACAGTGCTTTGTGCTGCTCTCACCATCTGTTCTGGCCAAAAAGCCCAATAAAACCTCCCTTTCATACTTCAACCCCCGTGTCATGCGGATCGGCTCACCAGTCTGACGGCAGCCACTCTAACGCACCGGTTTAAACGGACATCCGTTTCCTGTTGGCCGGAGCTTTGCATTGACTCCGTGGCGCCCACCCACTAATGGGACATAACCAGCCAGCAAGATGCATCTCCCAGGTGACTAGGGGGGTGGGTGCGCTAGAAGTTCATGTGTAGCTCCTAATCTAACACTGCTTACACTTGTACCTGGGCATCCATTGGAAGCTCAGCATAGCTGCACTTATGCCTAGTCAACTCCTCAACACGTAACTGTTATGGCCCTAGTTCTCTACAGCAGTGTTTCCCAACCCGGTCCTCAGGGACCCCAAGCCAGTCCACATTTTTGCTCCCTTCCAGCTCCCTGCCAGACAGTCCACATTTTCGCTCCCTTCCAGCTTCCTTTCATACAGTCCACATTTTTGCTCCCTTCCAGCTCCTAGCCAGACAGTCCACATTTTTGCCCTCTTCCAGTTCCCAGCCAATCACCCTGAATACAATACATGTGTGTTTGGAGCTGGGAGACAGTAAAAATGTGTGCAGTTTGAGGCCCCCCTGGGGAGAGAGTAGGAAAACACCACTCTACAGGAATGGCGACTGACAAAGATGGGGGACGCTGTAAATTCTCACAGCTCAATCTCCATAGCCATTCGCTCTGGGGGTCTGCGGGGGAGCTAGGACAACTCCAAGGGCACCTGAGTGACAAGGACCCTAAAAAAATTTGGAACACAGTCAGGGACCCAATTTGATATGCTATCATGGGGCCCAAAATCTCCCTACAGTCACTCAAGGGGACAGATCCACGTATATGTCACTCATATCTGCCACAAATGACTTCATATTGCACTCTTACTGCATAATAATAATAATAATAATAATAATAAATGCATCCATAGACGAATACAGAAACTGATTGAAGAGAATAATTATCTCTCAAGATCTCAATTTCAATACAATTCAATTTCATGCAGTTCCTAACGTTCAGAGATGCTACAGTAATAAAGGATGAGCATTACTGAAACACAGAAATTAATCAAATTTAGGATTATTATATCCCCATTTCATTTAAAACGTCCCATTATGATAGATCTGAGGCATGGTGATCCAGATCCCAGCCCAGGACGCGCAGCTATAAGGCAGGAAAGACCCTGGACAGGCCCCCAGCGCAGACCCATCACAGAGGTATGAGACCTCAACACTATTTGCGGGGGCTGCCCTGCTACCCAAAAGCAAACCTTAGGACCCAGAAGATTAGCTGTGGGCAATAGCGTCAGCAGCATGACGGCAAAGCAAATCACCTCATAGGATGCGTACGCGCAAAACACTTACTGGCATGATTACACAGGCTGCCTGGATGGCAGGGAGCCATAAATATGCCTATGAATTGGGACAAAGAACCCGTTGTCATGGCACCGGAGGGCACTGCGAATCTCCAAGGAGGCGACGGCACGTGGAGGTTCCTCGGGGCTCACGAGAGGCCTGTCTGAGGGAGACAACTCATCCCGAAAAGACCCCGGCCTCTCCTTACTTCCTGCCGGCCTCCCTACTCGCCAGCCCTCAGACGTGCATGCACTCTCTGTTGGCTGCGTGTGCGGGTACCCTGTCAGGGTGATGAATGTACACACGCGCGGGGCAGAAGTAGAACCAGAACACACACACGCATACACGGTGGGTCAGACCCACAAGCATGAGGTCCTCCAGCGAGATGCAGAGCATGGATTACCCCGTACGAACATATCCGTACGCACCGAGACTTACACACAACCAACACAGCGCCACCATCCTGTCATCACCTTAAATCACCACTGGCTCAACACGCCTCTATCGACATGTCTCTACCACGACGCAACGTTAGACGGCAAATGGTCGATTACCGAGCGTGTCCAGATAAAGAGACGTCACCGAGCCTGCATGCTGGGGTCATCCCGCCAAATCCGGGGAGGGGAGGGGGTGCTGTTGGGCAGCCTTCCCAAACACGCGGCTGCCCCCACCCTGCCCCG